GCTCCCTCTGTGGGCTCAGACTGCTGGTCGGAAGGGGCCTGGCGTGGAATAACTTCCCGGCTGGCCACTGGGTCCTCCAGAAACCTTCTGCCCTTTTCAAGCAGTCTTAAGAAATGTCCTGTTTTATAGGGTGTTAGTGACTTTTTTTTTTCCTGGTCGCTAGGTGGCGCCAGAGATCTCTCCTATTGTCCTTGGGGGGCTGTTTTTCGCCTCCCCCCACCCCGTGGGACAGAGAACAGAGCGGGAATGGTAGGGTACACCTCAACAGCTTTGGGGTGCTGTGTCTGCCTTGTGCCCCACCGTCGTGGAGAAACCACGCCCCGAATTTTCGTGGCCCGGGTCTCAGTTCAAAGCCCTCAGTTCCAGGACGCGGGCTGTAGCCCAGTTCAGTGGCGCGGGAATGGTGCCTTTTGCACCTGCTCCGGTGCCTGGGCGCCTGGTTCCTGCTCACTCAGGGAGGGACTTTCACCCCAGTGAGGGCCTCAGCGCGTCTCCCCGCAAGCCTAGGTCGCAGGCGCGGGGACCTGGGCAGCCGGATCCCGGTCTGCGTTTTCTTTTCAAGTGCGCCAAGCGCACCGCTTTCCCGCGCCAGCTTACCGGCAGCCCGGGCTGTGTGCGCGTCTCCCGGGGTCTTTGTTCTTCTCTAATGGCGCCCGGAACCGTTCGCTCACCGCCGCGCGGATCCTGCAGGGTTCGCCTCAGCTCCCGTTCACGGGGTGTGGTGGCTGCAATAGTTCCTTTCCACTCACAGTCCCGCTTGCTGCGTCGTTTGTTCTTGTGGGCCGTTTTGGTTTGTTGTTCCCTCCTCTCTGCCGGTCGGAGAGTGCCGCCTCTGTGGGCGGGGGAGGGGAGCAGGGTTCTGCGCTTCCCTCCCTTCTAGTCCTCTTTTATGGCCAGTTTCTTCTTCGGGCAGTTCGCTGGCGTCACCCGTTTATCTTCCGTGTCCCAGTTCTCACTGGGACCTGCCGCTTTTCCTCCCTATTCACTTTTTTTTAATGGGAGATCTTACTCGCAGCGTCTCCTCGCCGCCATGTTGCTCCTTATTTTATTTTTTTTAAGATTTATATATTTATTGCATAGAAGAACTGGGGTGTAGGCCAGAGGTGTGTGGGGTGAGAGGATTCACTAGAGACAGAGTGGGGAGCAGAACAAATGCATTTACTAAAATATACTGCTAAGGGAAGCAGTGGGGGAGACAGGAGAGGTCTGTTGTGCCATGTGGTTATCTCCTTGGCCAGGGATCAAACTCAGGCCACAGTGTTGATAGCCCTGAGACTTAATCACTAGGCTGCCAGGGAAGCCCGCTTGCTTATTTTGGACACACTTTCTGTTCTAGACTCCAAGTTCTAGAACTCCTTCCCAATAATGATTGAGCTTTCATTTGAATAGCATTGAATTTATGTAATAATTAGGGATGAATTAATATCTGTGCAAGGCTAAGTCACCATAGCCATGAATGAAATTTACTTTTTAAGTCTTTTCATAAATGCCAGCATAGTTTTTGTTTTTAGACTGTCATTGCACATTTAATTTTGTTCCTGTTTTATAGTGTTAGTTGCTATCTTAAATAGGATTCTTTTTCCATTACATTATCTACTTAATGATTGATGGCATGTAGGAAAGCTATTGATTATATTTATACATGGTTAATCTACTGAGTTTTCTTTATTTTTTTAGCCAATTGATTTGGGCTCAGCAAACTTCTGTAAAGGGCTGGATAGGAAATATTTTGGGTTTGCAGATTGTAGGAACCCTGCTACAACTATTCAGTGCACTGGTTGTGGGGTGGAGACAGTCACAGACAAGACATGCAGGAATAGGTGGGACAATGTTCTAATAAAACTTTATTTACATAAACAGACCGTGACTGGATTTGATCTGTAGACAGGGGACAGGGTTTGCTAACTATACTCTAAAGATGCAAATATGTAGTATATAAGTAAGATGTTTTTCCTTATCTCCAAAACACAGCATCTCAGAATTTTTGAGTAACAGAAGTGATAATAGTCAACATTTTTCCTATTAAACATTTTCTTTATTATTTTCTTCATAAATATAAACAAAATATATTGAACTGTCCTTGAGATCCTGGAATAAATGATTTAATTTTTTCTATTCTGTTTAGTGTTTCTACATTTATATTCATAAATGAAGTTGTAAGGCTTCTTATAGTATTTTATATTAATACTATTTAATCTTATAGAACGAATGAGAAAACTTTCCATATTTTTCTATGTTCTGGAATATTTTAAAGTCTTTGGAGTGAAAAGGAGAACGACCATCTCTCTTCCAACCTCCACTTCTACCTAGAGGTGCTAATATCACTGGGTTTTTAAATGGCATCACTGGTTCAAGGAAAGAAGAGATGATGCATTTTAGAAAACCGAGTGGCCCTTTAAGGCTTCTGGAAACTTTCAACTTCACACTTTCTGTTGAGTTATCAGGTCCTACTTGCTTGGGCAGTGCCATTTCCCAGGTGAGGGGTACCCTAGGTTGTGGATCTCACTAGTCTTCCCAGATGTCTGTCCTCTAGTTCATGACCTGCATTCTCAGGCAGGACAAGAAGTTCACTGAGCTTCCCAGCTGCGCGTCTTCTGTCCAAGCTCAGGTGCTGAGAACATGAGGGATTCTGTGCCCAAGCAAGCCCAGGCTGGAGGCTTGCTCAACATTTTTCATTGTGCAGGCTTCCATGTCCAAACAGTGGCCCAGGGTGGCCCGTTGTGATGTGCCATTGAACCAGAGTAGTGGGTGTGGTGACATCTGTGTTCTTGTTGAAGATACACACACATGATGTTCTGGGATGGTGAATGGTCTTTGCTGGGGGTTCAGAGGGTTAACTTTCTGGAGTGAGGTAAAGAACATAATTTTTTTTTTTAAAAAAAACCAGCATCAGTGCTGGGTTTTCTAACTCAGTGCTGAGGGAGAGAAATTCAGGTAGAGAGAAAGAGATTCAAGGTAGAACCATGGAAAGATTTACCTGTCATTCTGTCTTTGTGGCTGGCGTGTCTGTTGGGGCTTGTGGTATGACTGATGGAGAGCAGAGGGTGAGGATCCTTAAGAAGCACATTTATAACTTACAGTTGTATGTCACAGACTTTAATTCTATTTTACTTACTTTTTTTGAGACTAAGGCAAAAATCAGATATAACCTATGGCTTTTCTGGGTGTGGAGGCAAGGCCTTGCTGGTTTTACCAGCAGCCGAAACACTGCCCAGTATGGGGAACTTGTCTCAAGAGAGACAGCCCAGCTTTGAACATGGGTTCCCAGGCAGTTCTGGAGGTACAGCCCAATCCTTCTTCACAGAACCTCCTAATCTTGGGAAACTGGTTTTCTCCCTAGAGAGTGCTGATTACTTTTACAGATTTATTTATTGGTCCAAAGATAAAATTTCTTTAAGCTGAAGCCCCATCCCTACAGAGCTTCAGCTAGAATTTTGGGATGGGGAAGACTGTGGTGTGGTGAGTTTGTCCTGGGGTCAGGTGCTCCGTTGGCGTTGGGACCCACCGTCTGCACTCTGGGGATATTTTGGGTTTGAGGTGGTCAGTGCCCCAAAATACTCCCTGTGGCTACCTCACTTGTGGAAACTTACCTTTCTATATGGCACTAACCCCCCTAATTGAAGGTTTTGGTCTCCAAGGTCATGTCTTTTCTTGGGTACCTCACATAGCCTTGATGTGGAAGCTCAGGAGACCAGGGGCCTGGGGGCTGGCAGAGAACTCTGAATGGTCCCGATTTGCCTATTGTACAAGCAAGGCCTTCGTTATCTTAATGTCCTGATTCCACACAGATTGTATGTGGGGGACTGATGATCTTCAGAATGAACAACACAAGGCTGCATGGTTTTCCTGGAAATGATCAAGATGACACCACAGGCATCAGTGCCTGTGAGCCAGGGGACGCCTCCCTTGTCCTTGGTCCTCCAGGGTCAGGAAGAAGGTAGGTCTCCGTGTGCTGGCCAGCTTGCAGGGGAGCAGCAACAGAGAGGGAGGTTAGACGTCTTCCTCTGGAACAAGAGTCTCCTGGAAGGCGGTGGACTGTTCTCTTAGGCTGGGTGCCCAATTCCCTGTGCCCTCTTTAAGCACCTTATTAACTATGTCTCCCCTTCCTGCCTGTGCATCCTACCTCCCATCATCCCAGCCATCCACAGACATTCAGTTTCTGGACGCTGTTCTCTCTTTAGGGGTATCATTTACTTTTTCTCAGCTGTTGAGATGAATTAAATCACCTAACTCACTCCTATGGCTGGTGCAAATGCAAAGACTCATCATTTTAATCATTTCTCTGTGCAAGTATTTAAACAAGAATCTGAGTGTTCATAGTACTGTCACCTCACTCACAATAGAATAATTTCCTCTGGTTTTGGTGGAATGTTCCTCAATGGGTGAGTAGCATCTCACTTAAATGAAATGCATGAAAGTCATGATGGGTGGGAATTCTCCCCACACAGAGGGTGCACGATGGTGAGTGTGAGCGGCTGATGCCAAGCCCCTTCACAGAGTTGCTGCTTATTAATTCCTCTGACTTTCAAAGTTTGTCATTTAGCAGAATCACAGCAAAACTCTTGTCAATTTGGTGCCTCCAAAGAAGCAAACATTACTTGCCATAGAAAAGTCTTTTCCATCAAGAAATTCCCTCTCAGCTCTGGGAAGTTGGAGGCACTATGAAGGGGATCTGGAAAAGAGCTCCTAGATGGAAGTGAACAGGTAATGGGATGCAGCTTCTGGAGAGCTCAGTCTGCAGGCATTATGTGCATCGAGAGCCTGTGCTCTGGGAGGGGTGCTTCCCAACTCCACCGCCACAGAGGAAACTTCCAGTATTGAACTGATACCAGGCCTCTGGGTGTGGATGTGGATGGGGCCGGGAGGAAGGGACTGTGAGTAGGAGATACCTGTACTTTGCACTCTGTGAGCAGGAGGTACCTATACTTTTGGCAGTTGGTGAAAATAAAACTGCTCTAAAAATAAATTTTATTAACTTTAGAGTTAGGAAATAACACCTATTGATTAATAACTAATACAACACTGTTGCATTGTTAACAAAGAATACAATATTATTATTATAAGGTATTTATAAGTAAAGAACAATGAATAATATACATCAAAAATTTTTAATACTCAATATACAATCAACATGTTCTGATCCACAGTATAAACCAAATAAAAGAGAATCTTGTGTTTTCTTTGTACAAATACTACTTTCATCATAGCAAAACTTACAATATTAAAATGTACCATATGTAGAAGCCATTGCTCACTTGTTTTCAGGATGAAGTTATTGCTATTGTTAACCGGTAACAGAATCACCTCTAACATTAGTCAGATCCACAGGATCTCTTAATTTCCAAGAGATTATATTGTAGAGCAAGATGATATTGTAGACAAAGTAACTTAAAAGGTCTTTTTATTTATTTACTTTTTTTTTTAAGTAAATACACCTTGTTATTTCATCTGCTGGGTGACAGGGTGGGGATTCTGCGGCAATTCAGACAGGATGGACTTGGGATATCAAAGGACGTATTGTGGTTGTGCAGACAGACATGGAGAGAAAGAAATATTAATTGCTTTAGATTTTAACCCAGATATCACTTAGGAAAAAATTAAAAATGTGTCTTAAAGCAAGAATCCTCTTATTGGACTCTGGAAAGCATCCAACGACTTATGCAAGCCTACTGACGTCTACCCTTTGTGATGTAACTGCTAAGTCAATGTTTTCTTTTATCTTGGGAAATGAAGGTCACTTGGTTATTAGAGGGAGGGTGTTCGCACAAACAGCAAGAATGTTCTTTATTTTACAACCAGTCTACCTTTAATTGAGGAAATGGAGGAGGGGAATCTGTTCTACATTTCCTTTCTTTCATGGATGGCTAGATCCTCTCCTTTTTAGTACTTGGGCATCTGTCCCAGAGCCTCTGTCTAGTTCCCTGATGCTCAGTGGCAGATGCTGAGGTCACGTGATTTGGTGGTTTTGGAGCTGGGAGCTGTTCCTGAGGTCCCAGCATCAGCAGAATTTGCCAGCAATTCCAGGCTCCTGTGGCTAATTATTAGGTTGGTGGTTTTCAACCCTGGTAGTACATCAGAAAGATATTACGAGCTATATATAGGAAACAGCCTGGGTTTCATCTCTAGATGTTCACAGTTATTTGACCTGGGTATAGATGGGCCTTGTGATTTTCAAAAGTTCTTTATATAAGATTGCTGTGCAGCTGGGATTAAGACTCCCTTCTGCATGGTGATGGAAAGGCTTGGTAAGACCATGGATGGACTTCATCATGATATTGAGTAACCAAAACATGCTGAATATTAGGGATCTGTAGATATTTCTAGTCTAAATTGGTAGATGCATATCAACTGTAAATATAAAAATAAAAATATTTGCCTCAAACTTAGATTAGTATATATAAATCAACAAAGTGCTATATTATTGCTTTTCTTACATTTATAGGGTCATATTGGCAGATGAGTGGAGTAACATGCAATTGAATCCATTTATTAGTGATAACAGATAAGAATTCTCTTCCAAAAACTCAACAGAAACTGCTTTAGATTAAGGCTAGTCTAAATGTACTTTCCAACCTTTCTAATTTTATAAATATAAAAAGTACCATCCTCTTCTTCATTAGGATAATGACCTAGCTTAGCTCATCAGTGAGGTTGTATCTTAGAAGAGAGAAGAAACTTTTCTTTCAGTTTAACCCCTTTAAATGAATAATTCACTTTCAAATTTTGATTCCATTGTAGTCTTTTTAAAGTAAACTATTTCCTTAGTAGTAGAAAAGTGAGTTTTCCTAGAAATATATCTTACAAAGTTCAGTGCTACATCAAGAAGTTAACATTCCTCCAAAAAGTTACAAAAATAGATTGACATTTAAAAATCCTGTCTGAATGTGGTTTTAATAGTACAAAAATGTAGTGCCTTGATACTCTGGTTGTTGCTGGTAACAGAAGTAGGGATTTCTATTCAGTGAGGTTTTACAGCCCCAGGCAAAGAAATATAAACAGATGATTACAATGAAAACATGTGCTTATCAAAGGAAAGAAACACAAAGTAGACACAAGGACGATTTCAACAGCTGTAACTTAAGCAGCTCATTCCCTGGGAAGAGACTGATTTTCTAACACTATTTCTTAGAAAATGCAAACTGTATCAGCACTTTATCAACACTCAGATCTGGGTATTTGCCACTTCAAGGATCCATTGTTGGTTACAAGGAATTGGAGGCTTTGGAAATGGCCACTCAAGGCCAAGTCGTGGCACAGTGCAGACACACGGTTCTGTTGTTGAACCAGGAATCCTCAGCATGCCCAGTCGTTTTCACTCTGCCCTGGCTGGGGCCATGGCACGGATGCACAGGCTCACACAACTAAAGGTGGCCTTAAAGAAGAGGGTTCAACTCTGGCTGTCCATGAATATCATGTGGGGAACCCCCTAGGTTCCAATTCCATTGGTCTGAGGAACCCAGCTCCCTTCTCCTAAGCTGACCAGGGGGTTCCAGTGGCAGGGAGGGTGGGAGCTGAGGGTGATCATCTACCAGGCTTGTCCTCACTGTGCAGCTGAGGTCTACAGGGAAGTAGATAGAGCAGGAAGCCACCAGGCTGTCTCTTCCTGTACGGACTTCCCTTTTCACAAGTGTTTCCTAAATTCTGGTTTTCATCAAAATAATCCAGAAGAGCTCTAAAATGTCCCTAAGCCTGGGCTGTCTCTGAGACAAGTTCAATTAGAAACTTTTTGGCTGGGATCTAGGAGGTTCGCTGGGCAGCTACACTTGAGAACCAGTGCCTGCTGTGGCTGTGCAGGTCACAGCTGATTTTCGTTTGTAGTTGGGGGAGAGCTAGAGCTCAAATTTAAGAATTTTCAATATATTTGTTGGCTGTGCTATCAGGGTTGCCACATGATGGCCCCATAGAGCTCCTAGTTATGAATCAGGAATAACTGGACTGAAAGCAAGTTCAGACTTTGGAAGAAGTCATCTCTGTTCTACTTTATGAGATGACACAATTATTTTCCTATGTTTAATTAAGGGACTCCTTAGAGTTTATAAGAAGACCTATGTAAGGACAGTGCCCAATGTAAATGTTAACTTTCAACTCCTACCTTACCCAGTTTCCAGGGCCAGCTCTGAGGCTGGCCCCTGGGAAAGGTCTCTAGTACTGACCTGAAGAAACAGCACACAGGCCGTCCAGGTCTGGTGTCCATGATGAAGAACACAGGGACTGAGTATAGCTTTGAAATGTGACCAAGCAGGGCCGGGCTGTGGATCTCCTGCAGGCCTGGGGAGCCCTCTTCTGACACTCCCACAGTCAGCACCAGCCTGCCCCAGGATCTACTCTCTTAGGTCTGAAGCACCACCAGGTCCCTGCTCCTGCCTGGACAGACGTGGCCACAACATTGAGGGAAATAAAAATCTTAAAATTAAGTGAATTTAGAAACTAGATTTTATGCAGGAAAAGTGAAATACAAAGGAGAAGAAAAAAACTTGAATAATCGTTGCTGTTTTATTATGGTATAGGAAAAATATTTCCAGTTACAAAAATGCTACAAATTGTTGTCCTGCACCTCCTGACTGACCCGTTTCTTAACAAGTGAGTGAGAGTCAACTGAATTGCTGTTCCCAAGAGCAGAGTGAGCTTCTGACTACAAGATTTCTCGATGTTCTGAGGTGAATAAGAAAAGTGGCTTACTGACAGTGGTATACGTTTCAGATTCCTAGCAAAGCTGCTTAATCTTACTCATTCAAGTCCCCACTGGGGACACATATAAGAAATGTGAGGATCACTGCAAGCTTAATTCCCAGGCTCCTGAAGATGACAACGTGGTCTGTAAACCTACTTTACTAGTGGTTCCATGGAAGACTCTTTCTTTGTTAGGGGTCCCGGCGCAGAGAATGTACTTTCTCTTCCTTGTGGCTACACCCTGGTCCCAGCTCCATTGTTCCTTGGCTGAATACACCTCCGAATACACCTGGCATCTGTGCTGCCTGGGGCCTGTGGGCATGTCTTACCTGGCACCTGTCATGCTGTTTTAAGGTTAATACTTCAGTTCATTTTTTTTGCTAAATTGTGAATTTCTTGGAAATAGGAAATATGTTTTATTTAGTTTTGTATCTTTAGTAGCAATGTCCGGACTGGCACAGACATACAAGAGTATTTGAGAACATAATGAAATTGAAGATAGTTTATATTTCCATGGAGACAAAGTAAAACATTTTGGTAACAAAACAGTGGGACCCTAATCCATCTGAGTGTCAAAAAATAACTTCAAAGCAAATAGAAAATTTTGTATGTGTCTGTAAGCTGAAAATATTGTCTGAAACATATTTTCCTTGATAAACTGAAATGGTGGTTGCTGACCAAGAGTGCTGAAAACACTGCCAACGATTGCCACTGACTGATCAGGCTGCAGGGACATTCAGATTAGAAAAAAAAGGCGGAGTCCTAACTAGATGGATCCCTAATGACAGGGAAATTACTAGGAGGAAAAATGGTTTTTTCTTCTAAAGCACCTGTAGGTGTTCTGAATGCATTATCTTCAACTTCAAACTCTAATTTCATATTTACCACTTGCATTGCACACTCTACATAATACTAGCTTTATTTCCACCTGTAAAGTTGCCCAGAGTAGGAGGGCTCTAAGTTCTTGCACAGTGGCCCCAGAACCTGGATGCTTTTATTCACAAAGCACAGGGAGAGGCTTTGGGGCAGCTTACCAGGGACCAACCCAGTACCCTTTGAATAAAAACTTTTAAAGTGAAGTAAAAAGAAAATTGTCTAAACTAAATAGTTTTTGGGGAGAGGCTAAATAAGTATTTAAAGAAGTTTTTTTTTTTTTTTGGAGTCTTTCATATATTTCCTGACCCAAAGGACTTCGTGCATTTATCTGACACTCAGATCTCGGGGTTCTTGCATTGTCCTCCATCTTAATTAAAGGCTATTGGTCCAAATGCTGATGAATCAAATATGAGCTGGCCTTGCTCACATTATCTGATGTACCGTCTCCTCTTGCTGATAGGGAAAGCATATAGAGTTTTAAAACAACGGAATGGAAAATAAACAAGTAAGTCTAATACTTACAATTAGAAAACACTAGTTCAGTGAGTGGAGAGCAAATACCATGGAGACACTTATATAAAAGTCTGAGGAAGAATTCTATCCCCTCCTTTTCTTTGTCACCCAGGAATGGTCAAAGTGGCTTATCCTTTTGTATACCCATGGTTGGGTACAGTACCGATCATGCCTACTTGGGATGTGGAGGGCTTCCTGTTTGCTTAATTGTCTCACAATGGAAGAGTCTTGACACAGAGCCAGTGAAGTCAAGTGTTAGCTGGAAGACTTTGGCCCTTGCTTCTAGGTCACAGTTGGGTCTGGACCAACTTGTGCATCAAGTGCTATGAGTGAGCTTCTTCCTTGTTAGAAAAGCCCCTTAAAAACAAAGTCAATGATTATAGTTAAAAACCCCACAGGTCCCCAAGCAATAAAACTCCTTATATATATAGTTGTGTGCTTTTTTTCCAAATATACCTCATTTAAAGGTGAACTTTGTCCAAATGGACAACATTCTTGCTGGATGCCATTTTGTGGAAGGCTTACAGTTTGAAGACAAAGGAATGTCACAGGAATATACCTGCAACTCCCTGTGGTGCATCCCAGTGGAGGGCTTCCTGGCTGAAAGGCTGGTTGGTCACAGCAAATATGGCAAAACCAGTTCATGGTCCAATAGTGAACATAGGTTTTGTTATCAGGACTTGGTGATCAGGAGTAGCTGCCATGGTTGGGTCCATGGTGGGTGAGCCATGTGGAATTTTTATGGCTGGGGCTATTCTCCATGGTCATGCTCCAATAAATTCACTGCTGGGTGGTGCTACCCTAAGGTATTCTGCATTTTCAGCTGAAGGGCCCTTGAAGATGCCATTGGACTTGGTTTCCTTGGGAAAGAAGTCCTGCTGGTAGTCGGGGTTGTCCAGGCTGGTCTGATGGCTGCCTGACTGGGCCCAGAGGGTGGGGCCATTGACGTGGGAAGGGCAGGTGGTATTGAGATACTCAGGGTTGTCCACCGCATTACTGTGGGGGTTTTGGTAGTGAGGGTCTCTGCCAGGAGCTGGATGTAGGGGCTGGTTGTGATAGACAGGGTTCTGGACAGAGCCTGCAGGCCTTTTGGGAACACACTGGTTTACATATTCTGAAAATGAAAAGAAATCAGAGATGAAGTCATCAGCAAAGCACAGTATCAAGCAGGAGGTCATTGGCCTCTCCCACCCCAGTCTATATTCTGCAATGAGGTACTAACCACAGCAGGTAGCAAGCCTGGGAAGACACTACTTTTTGTTGTTGTGGAATAAACTGCGCTTTTTCTGTACTTCTCAAACAACTGGCACATCTATGTTTTGCCAAGCAAAAGTTCTCTAAGGATAACCTGCCTCTGTGTGTGTGTGTGTGTGCAGGTTGGGAATGCCTAGAGATAAAGTTTCCACTAGGAAAATGCATGTTTTACATGACAACAATGAAGCCAGGACAGAGATGGGGACTAACAAACATCTGAACACATTCACACACTCTTACACCAACGCTCACACATAATTGACATAGACATATACCCACATGTGCTCACATAGTCACACATGCTCACACACTGATACATACACACAGAGCTTAAACACATGCTCACACACATACACAGCACACACATTTTCACTTTCATACCTACACATCATACTCGCACCCATATCCCCCACATATATTTGCTTCAAATTCTAGAAAAGCTGTAGATTCACCCTAAAAAACTAGCAGACAACTTGGGCACACTTGCACTGTGTACTGCCCAGTGCCTGGGTATGTCTGCCTCCCACTCCTTTCTCTGTGTCCATCCCCACCTCTGGTCAGGTGGTTGGGTGGGGGCCAGTTCTAGGGACAGGTCAAGGACTGTGACAGTCCCAGGAGCCACTCACCAGGCACGGGGAGGAAGGAGTCATCCAGGCTGTCCTCGGGCAGGGTGCCGGTGGGGTCCGAGCTGTACCGCTGCAGGAAACTGTCTTCTTTGAGGGGGCAGCTCTGCTGGGGAAGGTTAGAGGTATCAATGTAAAACCACCCAAGACCTCGTTCAACGCATTTTCACTAGAAGGGCTGCAGAAGGACATAATTCCTATTAGCCCCGCAGATGCCTCCCTCCCCGGACCTAGGAAGGCCCTGGTCAGTGCTGTCTGGTGGGGCTTCTGTAACAACCAATGGCCATAATCCTTACTCCTCCACATGGCAGACACAGTCACAAATGACTGAATACTTCAAATGTGTGAGAAACCAGATTTTAATTTTTCTTAATTTTCCCCATAAAAGTTTAAATTTAAGTAGCCACATGTGGCTGGAGGGTTCTTTGTTGGTCAGTGTGGGTCCAGACAAGGTCCCATAAGATGTGCATCAGTATTCTCAGGAAGGCTGGCCGACGCACAGAAACCCTATGTTAGCAGGTCTGGGAAACTGTATTTCTAACAAGCCCCTTGGTGCTGCAGCAGATCCAAGAACCATGCTTTTAACAAGACTGATAAGCCATGGCTAAGTGCTGGCCTCAGGACAGGGGAAAGGGAACCACTGTCCCGCGGGGCATTTAGGAGGAAAATCAAGAGCTTCCAGGTCAGTGTCTAACAGAACCCCAACACTGAGCTACTGCCTGATTCTGGCTGACTAGGTCTTCATACATACCCCATTTCTATCGATGCATGCCACGGTGGAGTTGTTGCTGGTGGCACTCTGGAAAAGAAACATAGCCGCTGATGTGTGATTGCAGGAGGTGGGGGTCAAGGAGCAGATGTTCTAAAACTTTCTTAGTTTTGTGTGCTCATTAGCATTAGAAAAACTAGCATTCGTTCTGGTTTAATTTTGTTCTTCAGTGGACCTTAGAAATGATTACCATCAAGTTGTGTAAGGCAGTAAAATAATCACTACGCTTACTTGACTCAATTTGATTTGGGTTTTACCATTTGGTGAAAATCCACTTTGTCCCATGTGAACTCATTGGATGGGGATCATTTTCTCTAAAACTCAATTGGTTCAAACCAGCAGACCTAAATTGAAAAAGAGTGAAAATTTCATACCAGAGAACTCAGGAGGGGCGTCCGAGAGGTGGAGGGGCTATGGAAGAAGCCCTGCTGAGGGATGAGATACTCGTCGGCATCCACCACATCTTCCATGTCCTCCTCATCCATTAGGGCGCGGTAAAAGTTGGAGTCTGTGGGACTTGGCAAGTGCATTCTCTCATCCCCCTGGGGCAGAGATTTGAGACCATTAGAAAGGCCTAGAGAGATACTAGTCCATTTCTTGGCTATAGGGACAGGGATCTATTGTCAGCAGGTGCCTGGCGGTTTATCAGTTTAAAAGAAAAATACCGGATGGTTTCACTTATAACAGGAATATAGGGGAACCAAATAAGACATCAGTGTAAAAAAATAATAATAACTGTGCAAACCACAACAAAGGAAAAACAGACAATTATAAACCAGAGACATCCTGCAGGGGAGGAGGAGGGAGAGGGGTGAGAGGGAGGGAGGGAGGAGCACAGGGGACTGTGGTGATGGTGCATGGGTGCCTTGGGGAAGGAAATTCTATGGGGACTCAATCTGAGGGGGTGGGGGGAAGCAAATATTGTTTAAAAAAATGTAAAAAATGATAAATGTTAAAATAAAAAAATCTAAAAAAAAAAAAATCCCTCTGGTTCTAGGAATGTAGTTGGCTTCCCTCAACTCCCTCGCCTCCTTGCCTGAAATGCAAACTTTCAAAATTCCCTGATATCTAAAAGTTCCTGAAGTGAAACACAAACTGCTTAGGAAGAAAAAGAAAGAGAAGCAGCATCAGCCTTTATTGAGTGTGTACTCTGGGGCTAGGTGCTGTGATTTTGTGATTAATCAGAAATGTGTATTTGGTTTTTGTCCCTGTTTCTGGCACAGAGTTCCTAAAACCCTTGGAATATTCTAAGTGATGAATGAGGTGACTTTTGGGAAGAACCTAAGTAAGGGGGCTGGTTGCCAGTGGAAAGCCCTGTGATTAGGGAGTTGGAACTTTCTGTCTCACCATGGCCTCCAAGGAGGGGAGCTGGCCTGGGGGTTGAATCAAACATTAAAGGCCAGTTATTTAATCAATCCTGCTTATGTAATGAAACCTCTCTAAGTCCCCAAAGGATGGGTTCTGGAGAACTTGGGGGTTGGTAAATACGAGGAGATGCTATGAGGATGGTGCACCCAGAGTGCACAGAAGCTGTGTCCCTCCCCTGTATATTGCCCTGTGCACCTCTTCCATTTGGCTGGTCCTGAGTTATATCTTTTTATTAAGAAAAACATTAGCCTAGTAAGTAACCAGGTTTCCTGCATTCTGTGAACCACACTAACAAATTAATTGAATCCAAGCAGGGGTTCATGGGAACTTATGATTTATAGTCTGTCAGTCAGAAGCAAAGGTAACTACCTGGCTTTGAGACTGGTGTCTGAAGTTGGGGTAGGGGAGGTGGCAGACTTGTAGGACTCAACCCTCACTCTAGGATGTAATAATATCTCTGAGTAGTTAGTGTCAGAATTGTATTGAATTCTAGGACATTGAGATGGTGTTGGAGAACTGCTCATAGGTTTGGGGAACCACACACACATACAAACACCCACACACAGAGGAATTGCTGAGCAGAACTTTTGGCGTTATGCAATATATTTTGCATGCATTATTTCACTGAATCTTTAAAACTACCCTGTGAGCCTCACATAGGAAGGGGAGAAATAGGTATATGAGGTCAGATTTGCCTGCTAAAAGTCTCTGCTTCTCCACTGGACTGAGCTGATGCTTTGTTTACTGCAATAGCAGCTGGCCCAGGGATGATGTGTGAGGAGGCTGTGTCAGTAAGAGGGCCGGCAGGGGTGGCCAGGGAGCAATGGGTACCACAAAGGCCCTCTACTCTGCTCCCTGTGCCTTACCCAGGCTTGCCTTGACACATTGGAAGATTTAATAATGTGAGCTGGAGACAGGTGATCCTGATGCTTGTTAGAAAGACTTTTTCCAACAGACTGCAAGTGCAGGTTGTACCTGGATGACAAGGTAGCGCTGGGGGTCTCGGGCCATCTTAGTGAATTCAATGATCAGCTCACGGAACTTAGGGCGACTGTCCGCGTCTATCATCCAACCTGGGAAGGAATGAAGAAAACAGGACCATTAGCACTCTTAAAGAAATGAGAAAGATGGCATAGCTTAAAGAAACCATTTATGGTGAGATACTTTTAGACAAGAAAGTGATGCAGACACTTAATCTTTGTGAAAGACAAAGTCCTGGCCGGATTACTGTTTAAAGATCATGAAAGCACAATAGAGTGAATCAGAATGACATCCTGTAATTTTCTACATTTACCCTTTCAGGGTTAGCATTCTGGTATGACTACCTTAGTAATACAGCAGCTTTACTGTAAGTATTGCTGTTGGTCAACTTTTCTGATGATCCAGTCCTTGTGTCTATGCTCACAGTCCTTACTTGACATCCACCTTCATGTGTACTCAACCAGCATTCTTGGATGCTGGAAATCAGATTTAATTTAGATAAATCCAGAGACCCTGAAGAACTCAGGTGTTCGGGAATGCCTCTCAACCACTCTGCTCCTTTCATTGTATTGCATGCTCAGTCATCATGCATGTGTGTAAGAGGCGATGTTTCAGCGCTTTCCATTGGAGGGAGCTTTTGTTAACCATGCTAGTGCATTGATTACACAAGGGCCTAAGCCTGGATTAAACAGGAGGAACAGTTATCAGCTGGAAATCCTCATGCCTCTGAGGGTTCACATTTATTTTCTAGTAGCAGGATGTCAAGCTATTTTAGATCAGATTGCTATGTGACCTTAGACAAATCATGTAACCTCTCCGGATTCCAGTTCCTCAGAGCAGAGCTAGGAAGTTAAAATAAATGGACTTTGTGGTCAAAGGTCAGAAATGCACTGACATTTACATTAATTTGGCTCTACCATATTCCCTTGTGTAAATGCTCACCACACAAATAATGTTACCTTCAAAGCCAAGTGAACTGGGGATTCTGGTGGAATAATGTGTTAATCAAGTTACACATTCTTATTTGGATCAAAATGTTTACTTGGAAATTGTAGAGGACCTCACATAAATCCACTGTTTGAAAGGTTTAAGTCCGAACTGAAATGTTGATTCTATTTTCCTCTTGTGTTTATTCATTGTTAGGCATTTAGAAACATTCATTCTCTGGTAACGGACTTCCCAGTGTGGGCAGCTTTTTCATTAAGCAACACAGAGAACAGAATATTTTGGTGTAATGGCTTATGGAGGCTTTGATTTTATTTATTTGCTTGCAAACATCGCAAATGTCAGGTCTCAGTGCTCAGTGAGTCAATGAGTGCTTCCGGAAGAATGTGTGAGAGTGGTATTATGGATGTTTCTGGACTCAAGCGTCTGCCTTAAAGAATGTGATGGCAGAATGGGGGGGTTGCAATTGTATGGGGAATATAAAAATAAAATTTATTATTTAAAAAAAATAAAATATTACTTCCTGCCATATAAATTTTTATTGTAAAAAAAAAAAGAAAAAGAATGTGATGGCATTTCTTCAGACAACCAAAGGTCTGAACTGTCTGATGAGGGCAGCCATGCCTCTCTATGGACCTGTGCTGAGGTTCAGCCACATGGGTTAGACTGCCTGTGACCACTCACACTTGACCATGATCATGTAGACGTCAATGGTGCAGATGGGCGGCTGCGGGAGGCGCTCTCCCTTTTCCAGGATGGTGGAGATCTCACTTGCCGGAATTCCATCATAAGGCTTAGACCCAAAGGTCATCAGCTCCCAAACAGTGACTCCTAGAAGATGAAGCAGTCACTCATTAGTCAATAGTCTTTAGTCATCAGTGTTCCTACTGCTTCTACTATTGAGAAGCCCATGTTTCTGTGGCCTTGGGCAACTCGCTTCCTACTGTTTACCTCTCTGCACAGTGGGATAATGACAGTATCTGCCTTACACGATGGTCATCAGGGTCAAATAAGGTAACACAACTGAAATGTTAGTTTAGTGCCTGGCAAACACTAAGTGGCTAAGAAATGGTAACATTTAGTAATAACAGCAGACAATATAACCACCTTAATAACTTCTTATGCTACAGTGCAGGAGTTACACACTCAGACTTCTGCCCTAAGTGACTTAAATCTATGTACGCGGAAAGATGGAGATTCCAAACAAAGCTGTAAATGTGAAACTTTAAATAATTTAAAAAAATAGAAACAAACAAAAAATCTATGTCCCTTTGTATAAATATCACAATCCCATACTTTTTATTTCAAAATCAATTACCATGTTTTAAAAAAGTATAACTGTAGTAATATTTTAGAATTGGTGTTTCTTCAGATAACCTCTAATTTTGATGGCCCTTTTATCTTCAGGCCTCTCTTGGTGGAACTCTCTCTCTCTCTCCAAATAGACGGTGTTATATGGAGCTTGTTCCCACCTGGATAGGGAAGGTTACTGTGGTCCCACTAGAGGTGACCATGATAGAGCCTGGCCCCAAGGTTCAGACACTGGACCTTCCAGATGTATATTACCACAGATCTGCTTGGGTTTTGCAGGGGCCATTCCAAAACACAATGACCTGAATTAACATATAGAATTTAAGGGCCTCCCTGGTGGCACAGCGGCTGAGCGCTGGGCTACGAAGCTGCCCGCAGCCTCTGCAGCACTGGTTTGATCCCCAGCCACCAGGCGAGGGTCCCACATGGCGCGCAGACCTCTCCTGCCGTGCCCACTGCTCCCCTCAGCAGTGTTTTGTCAGTCTGTTTTGCTCCCCGCTCTGGCTCTGGTGAATTCTCTCACCCTCCCGTGCTTCTGACTATACCCAGTGCTTGCATAAATAAATAAATAAATAAAATTTAAAAAAATATATAGAATTTAAGGTTGAAAAGTGAAGGAAAGCAAAGGTATAGAGGCAAGAAAATAGACTCTCCTATCCTTTCCCACCACAGAGTCAATATGAGCTTGACAGAAAATCTCATTTCAAGATGTATGAAGTCAGGTAATGCTCATCTAACTAGGCTTGAGCATTGTGTTTCAACATGCCAGTGACTTCCCATGGGAAGGCAAGCTTTCCAGGGTTTGGAACAAATAGAGAAAGAGTGGTGTGTGTGTGTGTGTGCATGTGTGTGTGTGTTTACCTGGTGTGGGTTATGGATGAGACTGGAAGGTGGGATGAATCCTCTCTTTACTCCAAAATAGACCACATAGTTGCCTAACTTATTAAATTATTTTTCCTTGATTGGAATAGAGAATGGAATAAAGGATATGTTTACTAAACTAAAATTCCAGGTTCATGGTCCAACAATTCCAGATCATAATCAATGACAACAGTTTCCTCTGAAATGGGAACTTGACAGGCACCACCACAGTGATGCTGAATTTCTAATAACAGTTATAATCATTCAAAGGAATTAAGTCATCGAATTTAAGGGGATTTTCATTTATTCAACAAATGTGGACCAGGTGTGGACTTCTAGTTGGCACCCACTGACTGGAACATGGGAGGAAGGGAGAGATAGCATCCACCCACCAACCCACCAACCCATCAAGCATGGTTAGGGCTTCAGACTATCTGGAATGTACTTGAGAAACCAAAGATGATAAGCAGAGAAGTGAAAGTCTGACATAGAAGATGTATTTTGACTGTTGTCTGGAGAATAGATGAGAGTGTGCAAAACAGGGCGAGAGAAGACCTGCTGGGCCACCGAGGAGGGGCTGGGTCAGCGTAGTGATAGGGAGATGACTCTGGGAGGACCCAGAGTGAGAAGTGAAGATACATCTTGAAAATAACAAGGCATCAGAACAGCTTTATTTCCTTATCTAGTTCATTCGTTGCAGACAGCTCAGATCACAGGTACATAGAAAATAGAGTGATTTATCCACAAATAGCTCTGTCTTTTTTAAGTCAGCTTTCTAGCAAAGGAGACAAAGATCCAGGAAATAAAACAAAAATACATTTCGAATATTGGGAAGTTAATAATTCTAAAGGAAAAAATAGTAAGTGGAAACCTGAATGATTTGTTTTTGTACTGATTAATTCCTTTCAATATTGCTTGTCTCAAATATACATTTCTAGGGAAGTAGGTGACTGTTCCTTTTCACATGCCCCCTTTGCTTTAAGTAGCTGAGGAGAGGCTGATGACTCACAAATTAGCACAGAGGGTGAAGGGTCTACAGTCTCTCAGCAGAGTGCTGGGTGACATTTGAGCACTTAATGTGAAAACAGTTGAAGTTAGCAGTGGTCATTGAAAATCAGTTATTCTTACAAGGCAAGAACATTTTCCTTAAAGGCAAGGCTCCTGTAAAAAAGCAGTGAGGCGGGAGCATGGCAACATGTCTGGGGAGATCCCAGCTGGACCTGGGATCAGGGACTCAGTCCTGAGAGTGAGAGGCCCTCAGAGTCAGAGGCAAACTCCACCTCAATTTTCTTGCTTTTCCCAGACACATCCTCACTGCCTTTTCAACAGGCATTCCCTCTGACACACAAAAAATCCAGTTCACTACAGGAAACAATAGTCTGGTGAATCATCACAAAACTTCCTTTCTCTATCAGGAACTCTTCCCTTGAACCTCATGGTCATTTCTCTTTTGTTCACTCTGGATTCATGACAAGAAGTAAGGTGACTGCAGGTGAAGGCATTTCCTGAGTTTAAGTCTCTCTCCCCCATGACCCTCTCTTCTGACAAGTTCATTGAGACCCCAGTGACACTTAGTGTGGAATTTATACTCAACTTCCTTGGCCATGTTTCTTTAGTGTAACAGACACACAGCAAGTATTACACTGTTATTAGTTACTGTCTTGGGAGAAAACTCTTGAATGACAGAGCATATAATGTAAATCAATGAACAAGCCAAACCAGCTGAGCCTCAGTACAAATTCATTAGCATCAGATTTCCACTCACCATAGCTCCAGACATCACTTTGGTGGGTATAAATTCGGTGTAAAATTGATTCCAAAGCCATCCACTTGATAGGCACCTTAGAATGATGAGAGAGAAAATAATATGACAATCATTAGCTTCCCTCTGTTGAAAATAATTAAATCATTCTGGGACAAACTACAAGTGACTGATATGGAAAAGTCAGGACATTCCACTGACCCCACAGTTTAGTGCTCCACATCAGCTGCACAGTAGACTTTAAGTCTGGCAGACAATAGGTTTCTTTTAAATGGCCCCAGAGTTGGTCAGGTGGACACCACAACTAAGGCCTTTTGGCCCCAGGGCAAACTGTTGAGCTGATCCTGGTCAGGCCCTGTGTGTATTTGCCCTGGATCTTGCACAGGCCATCATGAGGCTGAAGGATACAGCTGATCTGGAACATCCTGGAGGCCCTGGTAAGTTCCTGCAGAACTCCCAAACCCGGCTGAGGAGGAAGTTGGCTCCACCTCAACCTGGCTGAGTCTCCGGCTGGGCATGAGTCACTGGGGACCCTGGAAACCTTCAGAAAAACATAGGAAGCTTCTTGTATTTTGGGGATATCTTCAGGGCAGTGTGCCATCAAAGTAGAAGTGGTGTTACCTAGTTGTTTCTCCAAAGGTACTTATATCCTGAGGGGAGGAGGCAGCTGATCCTTGGTCCCGGGGCCTGGAGCTGAATGCCTGTTAACTGCCTTTGACCTCTGGATGGATCAGTACTCACTTCCAGCAAATCCCACCCCGACAGCACCTCTTCTCATAACACCAACAGAAGATTCTTTAGACCAGGGATGAGCAAGCTGCTGGACCTGACTCCACATCCAAAAATGTCTCCATACCATGTAGTTCCCAAAGAAAGAAAAGTTCACTAGTCTACAAGCTAGCTCCTTACTTTGCCTCCTTCTGCATGGTACTCCTTCTCATCAGCACCCAGCAGTTTGGCCAGCCCGAAGTCTGTGATCTTGACATGCTGTGGGGTCTTCACCAGGACGTTCCTGGCTGCCAGGTCACGGTGCACCAAGCGCCGGTCCTCCAGGTAGTTCATGCCCTGAAACAGGGTCAAGCAGTGAGGGCATGAGGCTAAGTAAGCATGGGGCTGAGCAGTGAGGGCATGGTACTTCCTGGATACCCTACATAGCACAGACCTGGGCTCACGCACACAGGGCAAGGCACTCTGTGGAAGCTGGAGCGTAGCTCAGGGTGGAGGGCTATGGGTGCCTTGGTGGAGGCTGTGGTGTGGTGACATACATCTGAAGAGGTGTGATCCTATATCTTGGACTCATATATGGTGTTATAAACCAATGTTACTGCAATAAAAGACATAATAAAGTCACATGCGTACAACTCCTATCTTTTCCATGTCAGGAGAAGCCTGTCTACGTAACTTACTCTCTTGATGACCAACTTGCACCTTCTAAGTGTTAGAAACTATCAAATGGATGAAAGGCAAGTAAATGAAGGTATACCTAGTTACTGAGTCATTATCTTTTTTCTATTCACGTACTCAGTCTCAGGTCCAGATGGTCCAAGTGGCAGAGGACAGCGCAGAACCCTGGGCTGAGCCTGGGCTGGAAGCGGCTCAGGTACTGCCCACCTGCCCATCATGCCTCCAAGGGCTCTCACCTTCCTGGGCTGAGACCATGTGAGAGGTGGGGGAGGCAGGGTGCCCTCATCAGGCATGCAGATAGTCCTTCTTGGTGCTGTGCAGCCAACTCTCAGGTTCTCCTATCTTATGTGATTTGCTACATTAAAAAAGACTTTTATCTACTGTGTCTTGTTTGTTGTTTTTCAATGGAACTCACATGGTTACTGAGCTGCTTTCTTAAGGTGTCACTCCCAATCCCCTGCCTGATAGCTTCTACATCCAGTTGTGTCAGAATCGTTGCTGAGAGATAAAACTCCCACCTCCCTTGTATTATCTGGAAAGCTCCTGAATGTTTAACATGCTGTTTGATTTAAAGGTTTCCCTTCCTAAGACTTCTCTTGTGCCAGAAAATATGGCTAATGGGACTAATGTCTCCTCAAGAGTGAACCAACAGGTTCTAGAATAGCACTTAAAAATGGAGAATTATTATTTAGGGATGGTGTGTGGAGAGCGAGAGAGAGTAAGAGCAGAAGCTGAGCAAATGCTGCCCAACAGATGACCCCTCGGTCCTCCGTGTCACCTCTCACCTCTCAAAGCTGGCTCCTTTCACCAGCTTCACCCTCTCCTTTGACTCATGGGACCCTGACTATTTCTGTGCTTGGTCCCCTTGATTCTTATACAAGAGTAAAATCTCTATTAAATAAGACCTACTCTTACTCATTCAGAAGGGCTAATGATGCTTGACCTCCCCTTGGTTAGACCAACAGCTGCACTCCAGGCTGCAAGTTCTCCCTGTGCTCTCTCCCTGTCTCTCACTCTGTATTTCTCTCTCCCAGTTTCCACTCTTATTTTCTCTCTTCCCTTCCAGCTGTGTCTCTTTTGTTTATTGCTTCATCACACAGCTCTTGAAGACTTCCTCTGTGGACAGTACCATGTGGGAATTGTGTAGACTATGTAATGTTGCACTCACGTGGACCCTGTGTAGTCAACACACAGCATAGGTGTTGCACATGTATGTACTGTGCAAGCCTGCACATACAGGGAGTAATAAAGCACACATAAGTCCTTAAATGAAGGAACAATTCACTTCTTCCGTCCCTCTGCCTTTATTTAAAATGTGTTGGTATACGAAACCTATAAGGAGAACTTCAGAGGGTATTTCCATCTTCATTAAACTACCATAACTTTCATTCTGCTTCTTCAAATTCCTAAGAGAATCTGGTACACTGGGCACATATTTACTGAAGTTTTTTGAGGAATAAATGGATGATTTTGCTAAGGTTTATTAGCCAATGCCTGAATGAATGGTAATAGCTTACTGCCATGTACCCTGGTGAGGTGCCACACGATCCTGAAATTATCTATGTGGAAGCCTCTCGGGGCTTGTAGTCCTCGTACCCACATACCCAGAGAATCCAGTGCTTCACAGACCAAATCCTCTGAGTCCTCAGGGTCAGGCCCTTAATTCTCTGCTGGCACCTCCAACAGAAATTTGCTTGCAGATCCTAAAATTTCTTGGGATGCCAATCCTCCCCAAAATGTATCCCCCAAATAACTTCTAGTTCCTTGGCCCTAAGCCACTGAATATGTCTATGTCGCTGTGCAAATCTACTAATTGACTTGGTTCCACACCACCCCTTGCCCTCAGGGCTTTAAAGAGCCAGAGAAACTTTAATAAATTGTGATGTTTTCTCAAAACATCAGTGTTCAGAGGAGGCTTGGGAAAGAGCGGCTTACATATCCTGGAGTGCATGGTAATCAGTCGGAGAGGTTTTAAGTCAGAGATAATTTTGGAACAATGAGATTAGACCCATTTGAACTTGGATGAAACCCTATTCATTGTCTCTATCTCACACTATGGAAACCCTTTGAAAGGCCACCTCAGTGCCCCATGGAGTTATATTTTAACCAGTCACTAAAGATAAGGTTGTGATAGTGCCTCTGAACTCTATCTAAACAGACACACACAGGAAGCTATGTCAGCACAACCCATGTGGCCGCTGGGGAAACACATTTCCTGATTCTTCTGAGATCCTCGCTCTAATTTAATTCAATATATTTATTTTTGTTAATTACTACATGACAGTAAGGGTGAATTTTGAAATACTGAGGTTAAAATGGAATTTGAAGAGCCAAACACAATGTGCAAAAGCAGAGCATGGGGTGTGCTACGTGGATGTTAAAGATGTTTCTGGCACAAGTTTGGAAGAAGGAAGGGCTGGGTGACTGGGTTTCATCTAAAGACTGTTTTCCCAGGGCTGTGGCATCCTACAAATCTTAGAAAGAGTGCAGAGTGAGAGGCTGGAAAGGGATCTGTTTCTGTTCTATTATATGAACTACCACATGGAGAAGTCAGGAGAGCATTGACTTAGTGGCATGAAAATGCAGAGATTAGAAATGGAGAGGTTGCAGGAAGTTCTGGAAGTAAAGTTGATAGCATGGCTTACCCATCCCTGAGCCCTGCCCTCAACAAAGGCAGACTTCCTATTCCAGATGAGATCATGTGACACCGCATCCTACTGTGCTAGGATGGGAGGACAGTGGACTCATGGCCTATTGTTCCACCTGAGCTGTGCCGTCAAATTCTGGAGAAGGATATAAACTCAGGAACAAAGCTGCCTAGGGTCAAATCCTGATTTTTCTGCTTACTAACTTGAGACCTTGGCAACTTAAACACACCCTACCTCAGTTTCCCCACATACCAAGTGGGTTATCAGAAGATTAAATGAGTCTACCCACACAAAGCACTGAGGATGGAGCCCAGCAAGAGTCCCCCAGGCACTAGTGTTGAGAACTGAATGCCTCTCCAGTGATTCTTCCTAAATGTCAAATCCAGCCTCTCTCTTTAATCCTCTTTATCATGACATTGAATTAGCTGCCATCATGTCTGGCCTAGACTCTGCTATGTTTCCCCCTCAAATTTTTGTCATAAGTAAATTCCTGAGAGGTACCTTTGCTTTCCTGATGCAGCTGGGCTCAGACCCTGCAGGTCTCCTCTGTCCCTGCCCTCCCCTGGCTCTGCCCCTCATCATTCAGCAGCATCGTGGCCATGGAGCCTGCTCTGGGCTGTCATCATGGGGCACAGGCCACCTCTCTCTGTGCCTCACTCACAGAGGGCCTCTCAGGACAGAGCTCCTGAGGGTAAGGGACAGAATGGCTTCTTCACCACTCTCTTCAATACCTGATACCTGGCACTTGGCTGTTGAACTGAAACCTCCTCGCTGATTCCTGTCACCTTCCCAGTGGCCACTGGGGTCCAGTCCTCTGCACTCAGTTCTGCCCAGGGCATTTCCTGCTACCTTGTTAACTCTTTGTGGATTCACTTTCTTCACTCCTCAATTTAGTCACACACACACATACACACACACACACACACTTCACATGCTATCTAACACCAACAGATTAATGCTGAAGAAATAACTAAGTGAAATGTCTAAAAGTTCACGAATATGCTTTACTAGCACAGTAACCAGCAACTGTGGCTTTTAAATGACATATTGTAAAGTGATCGTTTAGTTTAATCATTCCACTATAATGCCAGAGTAAATGAAATAAATAGTCCAAATAACAGAAATATCTGGTAACTTACTAGGATCTGTATTTTGGCCTGTTTTTCCCAGGTAATCACAGCATGTGCTTTGAAGTGAAGGGTGCTTAGAAGTGGTCTCTCTGGCCCTCTGCTGTGGAGTGGGAGAATCACTACACTTGGGTGCACACTAGCCAGCGAGGTAGGGGCAGCACCTGGGCCTTACCTTTATGAAATCCTAATCTAGAGTATGGAAAAGTCATGGGGATTTGGGATAGACCTGGGTGGCGAACACCAGAGCCCACCTGGACCCAAACAGGAAGCTGGTATGGGAACAACCAGGTCCCTCTGTAACACCGCGTCAGCCTCAGGGCGCTAGTCCTCCTTCCAGCACAAAGGCACAAAGGCCGTGCTCCACACCTCTGCTCATCTACCACCACACAGGAATTTGTCAACATGGGTTTCATGGTGGCACCAGAACTAAACATGGTGGCTGGAATGTTCTGGCTACATCAGAGTAGGATGATTGCCTTCCCCCCCTTCCCTGGACTCGACATCCCCACCGCCTCCTCCCTTCTCCTTTCAGCGGCTCATGGGCATGGACTGTGGACTGTGATGTCAGTGAAAACCCTCAGTGCTTTCCAGATGAGCTTGCACCAAGCTAAATATTGCATGTATTGGGAAAATGGATCCCTTGGACTGAAATATTTTTGAGGATTATCCTTATAAGTGTTACCTCATAGATTGAATTAAGTGTAGTCCTGTGCTTAGAAAGTTGTGGTTCAGGAATGACACCCATAACCAAGTTTCTTTCTGAGAGCCTCTCCCTCCCATGCTTGCAATTCTCACCAAGGGCTGAGCTCAAGGATCTTAAACCTTATCATTTGTCTGAAAACTCAATTCTGTGAGATCTTAATCTGGGTTAGGTCACAAGAAAGCTCTGTTGTTCAAAAAGCCTGGGAAATGTTGGATTAGTCACAGTCTAGACAGCTTCATTTACTGCAGAACTTAGCTGTAATGAGCGATGTGTGGCCCAAAGGTATTAGTGCAGTTTGGTAGGTGAGTTTTTCCAAACTGAATTAACGATAACATCTTTTGGATCAGAACATTTTCTGACATTATTGTACCATGTAATATAGTTGGGGATTTATCAGCTGGTTTTTTTTTTTTTTTTTTTTTTGTAGCTAGAAAGAGTGACTACTCTTTCTGAAGGAACTACATTACTCTTGGTGAGTGAGGTTCCTAGGCCTCATGAGCCAGGAATTTAGGGAAGGGTGATATCTCCTGCTGGTAGCAGGTATATCTCTGTAAGTTCATGTTTTTTACTTGGAGAACAGAATCTACTTCACTTTCTGTTTCAAGAGGGTGTGGCTTCCTTTGCTCTCCCAAGCCCATCCTAGTTTACTTCCTAGGCTACCCCTTTTCTCTTTTGTCTTTTATTTTATTTTATTTTATTTTATTTTATTTTTGTGGAGAAGAACTGGGGTCTAGGCCAGTGGTTCAGTAGTGAGAGGATTCACCAGAAAGAGAGAGAGGGGGGACCAGAACAGGTGGGTATACTGAAATACATTGCTAAGGGGACTAAGGGGAGCAGTGGGCGAGACAGGAGAGGTCTGCTGTGCCATGTGGGTCAGCTCCCTAGCTGGAGATCAAACTCAGGCCATAGTGGTGATAGCACTCAGACTTAACTCCTAGGTCACCAGGGAGGCCCTAGGTGGTGTAATTTTATTTGTTCTCTTTGCAGGATAGCCAGAACAAGAAACTTGTATAACAGTTTTAACACTTAGAAAGCCTCCTAAGACAGTCCATGCTTTTGTGAATGAACACAGTTCATTTAGAAGTCAATAACTCCCACTTTGAAAATGCCAGGAGTTTAGTTTCTGGTCAGCAACTAAGTGCTTCTGGTAGTTTCAATTTAAACTTTGAAAAAGGAAATTGTTTAATACTTAGATAAATAGTCACTATCCCGAGAGCAAATTTCTCCTTTTATAATTGAGGAAAACACTATCTCCATTTCTCTCCTGGGACAGATACTTTATCACTGTAACTATTCAAATACAGTGGAACAAAGTTTCTCTTGTGAATGAGAAAGCACATCTGTCACAGACAAAGCTCAGTCAGTCACAGTATGGAAGGACTTCATCAAAGAAAAGCTAAACAAAGTAAAACGGCAGCACAGTGGGTTGAACTAACAGGTTACAATTGAAGTAATATTTTATATATGTCTTGGAAACATACTTATGTCTCAGAAAACTTTCAGGACTGTCATAGTACAGTTTCTGCACTTTTTTAAAGTATGCTTTAGAAGGCAATTTGGGAGGGGTCCAATAAACTTCCATTTATGCTGACAAAGGTAGATTTAAATGTCTGGTTGCAAAGGAATGAGGGAAAAACCTCATGAACAAAAGAAGACACAAGAGTGGGAGATGCAGACCTAGATTAAGACAGTAATCCAGGTTAAATGATAGTGATCAAGATAATTAAGCTAAGGTTAAGGGACAGAAATGGAAGATGAGAACATTTAATGTCAAATGTTCCTGTGGCTGAATAGGGCACCCTCATCACCCAGGAGGACAGATGCAGAACCCTTTACAGAAAGGGAAGAAAACAAAAAGTCTAAGCTTCTCACTGAGGTTACATGATTTACAAATGTCAGAATGAATCTAGCGTCCACCTGAGTTGTGTTGGGCATAACTCGTAGAGGTGATGTGTCCCATCACAGGGAGAGTCACTTAGTGGAGTTGAAAATTGACAAGAGCTATTAGAGAAGGATTATAAGCATGCGGCACCTCTGGTGAGCTGCACCTCATGAGTCAGGCGGGCGCTGCAACCACAGTCGTGTGGATTTGGCAGCCCTGGCAGAGGGACGCAGCCAGGGCCCTCCCTGTTCTTACAGAGCCCAGCTCCAGGGAGGCTGGGTGGGCACAAACTCAAGTGATATGCAAACAAACCAGATTTCCCAGGGTGAGATAAACGTTAAAAGAAAAATAAAGCAAGTTAACAGGCTGCTTGGGGAGGAAGGACAATACTTTCGATTTCTTGCCTCGGATAATCAGGGAAGAAAGCTGAGGAAGAATTTCTTAGTTCAGGAGTCAGGTTATGAGGAATAATTTTATATTCAGATACTCTGGGCCAACTAACGTCCCCCAATCTCTGAAGACAGTCCCCCACATTCCATGTCACCAACAACCTTATAATGTGACCATATTTGAACAGAGGGTTTTCTAAATCTAGTTAAAGATTTTGAGATGAAGTCATCCCTGATTTAGGCATCACTGGTATCTTTTAAGAGAATGGACTCAATCACATAAAAGAAAGCAGCTGAAGGTGGAGGCAGAGATTAGAGTGATGAGCCACTGCCAGGGAACACCTGGAGCCACCAGAACTGGGAAAGGCAAGGAAGGATCTTCCCCTAGAGCCTTTGCAGGGAACACATCTTGACACCTTGAATCTGGACTTCTGGCCTCTAGAATTGTGAGAACACACTTCAGCTGTGGTAAGCTGCCAAGTGTTTGCAATTTATCATGGCAGCTCTGGGAAATGATTAGTCACACACAGAAATCACAAGCATTTTCAGAAAACCACAGCATCAGAGGCACCTGAGGCCCCCTGGTCCAGGACCGCTATCTAACAAGGATGGCGTGAATTCTTGAGAATGGCAGAAACACCACTGATCACAGTGGCGAGTGAGCAGTGTCCCTCCTTCCAGGGGTTCAGGGACGTTCCAGTAGCTATTGTTGAAAAATCCACACCAGATGGCCTGCAGCATACATCCATGTGCTGTGTCTGGTTGTCCTAGTTGCTGAGCTTCTGGCCTAGAACCTGTTTCAGAGGACATCCTGTTGCTGCCAGGGCTGTTGCTCCTGGTAAGACCTTGTCTTGCAGTGTCTTGGGCAATGACCAGCTTAGCAGTGCCCCAAACACGTTTTTCTTTGTCTTTAAATCACTTTCTCTGTTTGCTGAGGTTGAGTGAGCACAGTTAGAGGCCTTTCCAGAGTAATCCAGCAGGGCTGATGCCCCATCAACCGGAGGTGATGTGAGCAATAAGGTTCTGGACCAAGTCTGGTGAGTGGTCTCTCCTTATCTCCCTCTGTGGGCCCCACAACACCCCCAAACACTGCCCCACAGGAAGGGGATAACAAAAGGTTACCATGATGTCAGCTCAGAGAGAGGGCCTGCCCACAAACCCCTTAAATTCAATGGAGTAAAAGTACATTCGCTCTCAGTCGAAGACAGAATTTAGCAAGTTGGGTTGCAAGTGACTGACACAGGCTGGATCAAGAGAGGCAGGTTTGAGATGAATGTGAAAGTCCAGTTGAGGCTGTGTGAGCAGCTGGAAACCTGGGTCATTGCTGTGTTCTGGTCCTCAACATGCAAGGTCTTTCTCTTAAAAGACAACCTGGCCCCATCTGTGCTCCCAGACCCTGCCTTGCTTTGGATCCAGTCCTTTGACAGGGGCATGTGAGGAGTCCGGGCCAACCAGCAGAGGCCTCTGTTTATCTCAGTCCTCCAACGTGCATGCACCTGCCCCTCTACACTGTACTCACCACCAGCTCTCCTGCTTCAGCCTCTCCCATTCTTATTAAGTTCCTGATTGGGTGGAAGCCACCTCTCCCCTGCTGCAAACAACTATGGCATTCAACAGAAAGAACACCCAAGAAATAAGGACACTAACTGCAAACCACACTGAGGTCCAATAAAGAAAAATTTGCTCAAATTCAGCTGAATGAGCAGATTTATAACATACCGTGGGACAGGCACAGATATGAATGCAGAAGAGAACCAATTCAACTTAATCCAAAATAAATGTAGGTTGTGTGCCTCATATACACACCCTCTGGAAACGCTCAGCCATCCTTGGGCAGAGACCCTGTTGCTGGTTTCCCAATGGGCTTTCTTTCCTCCCCTGTGCCTCCTTAGAAGCAGTGACTGCTCCATCCTGGAGCAGCTGCAGGTCCCGTGGGATGTGTGCTGCTGGGCAGTCTCCTCCAGACTTACCTTTGCGATCTGCACACACCAGTTGAGCAGATGCTGGGAGCCGATGTTGTCCTTGTGCTCACGGACATAGTCCAAGAGGCAGCCGAAGGGCATGAGCTGTGTGATGAGCTGGACGGTGGAAGTCAGGCAGATGCCCAGCAGGCGGCAAACGTGGGGGTTGTCCACGCTGGCCATCACATAGGCCTCCTGTTTGGGAAGGGAGCAGAAGTGTCAGAGATGCTCCTCAGGGGGGCTTATAGGCAGAGGTAGGCATATCTGTTCCCAGGTGAGAAGGCAAGAACGATTTGAGTTTCAAAATGTGTTCTTGTGAAGGGCTGTGTCCTTTGTGAAAGTCTATTTATAAAAATTTAGGACTGGAAAGGGCCTTCAGAGCACTTTCTTCTGAGGTCATTGTTAGAAAAGGAAATCAGGGTCTAGTGAACAAGTGTGTCCACAAAGCATCTAGTGTGATGACATTCACGATGGACCATTACATAATAGCTGAAAAGGTGCTTTTTAGAGGATGGGGTTCTCCACGTAGATGCAGGGACCCAGATGGCACCTGCCACTGGGAAATGTTGCATGAAAATGAGACCTGAAGTCTCCAAGTTTGAAACTTGATGTTTTCATCAGGAAGATGTCTATATCAATTCTAAGATTCTGCAGTTTAAAATGTCAGGACCAGTGAAACTGAGCTCTAGCCTCGGAACTGTAGGGGTGACGGGGAGGGCTCCCACAGGGCCACGAGCAACCTGACGGCCATGAAAGGGACTCACACCTCAGCAGGACATTGCTTGTCCCTAAGTGAGCCACCAGCCCTGCTGGGATCCATTAGCCACCTCTGCAAGGCACAACTGGAAAAGCCCTGTCAGTGCAACCACTTCCAGCTTTGAAATGCCAGAGGCACTGAACCTACAGTGATTGACCCTGCTGGCTGCCCAGGGTCCATTTCTAAAGAAAGGGTCAGTGGTGCCTCCACATTAGTCTTCAAACTAGAAAGCCATGCTGCTCAGCAAAACCCAGGTTCCCACCCCACCCCTCCAGGTCCTGCCCCTGCCCATGAGGGTGTTGTCTGCAATGCCCCTCCACCTCCCCTCTCCTCAGAGGGGCTTCCCTGACCCAGAATTTAAGTTAAGCTATCCTGGCATCTTGCAACTTTTCTCCGGGGGACACAGTCTCAGCACAGTCTGGGAGCTTGCTCGAGAGGCAAAGTCCTGGGTCCCACCCTGGCTATAGATTGAGATGTAGGAAGGCAGGCCTGGATTCTGCCTCTGGGAGATTCTGGTGCTCGGTGAAGCTCAGAGCTGCTGCTCTGAAGTCCACTCATAACCTGCACTGAAGTATCCTTATGATTTAGAGAAATGTCCCTCCCACCGAGCTCTGAGGAGAGGATTGCATTCCCAGCTGTCCGTGCTCCCAGCGTTCTTTAGCATTTATCCTACTGGCACACGCTGCTTGTATCTTGCCTCAGTTTTCCCACATCTGTCAGTGTTGCCTCTGCAAGTGCGGTCAGTGCTTTGGAAGGGGCCTGGACCTGCCCTTCTTTGGTGATCCCAGTGGTGTCTAACACAGACCTGGGCATATCACTGCCTCACGAACGTCAGGGTTAAGTATACTGAAAGCGGCAAAGTAAGACACTGAAGGCAAACCAGAGACCAGCTTTTAATATTTTTGTAGGACCTTTGTTTGGAAGCTTTCTTGAGAGGCGAGGCATTCTACTTGAAGTAGAGTCTGTATTTCTTCTCTTTTATATGTGATCATAACACCATGGTATTAAAGAGCAGAGTAGATACTTAACATTTATGGACATTCAAACAGCCCTTCACCTTTGTGAAGGACTGTTTATAAAAACATTAGGACTGGAAAGGGCCTTCAGAGCGCTTTCTTCTGAGGTCATTGTTTGTTAGAAGAGGAAATCGAGGCCTAGTGAACATTGCTGATCTGAGGCCACATTTCTTAGGTTTCTAAGTCAGATCTGGGCCCCTATCCCGGTCTCTTTGCTCTGGTCCCGAAGCCTTCGCGCCCCCCTCCACCCCAACCTGGTTTGCCCCGTGGCGCAGTGAAGAGAGCTAAGGTTAACTGGCCACCAGATACAGCCCATATATAAATCTGTTTTTGCATTCTCTTTCCATTGCCTGCCCTAAATTTAAACTGGAAAGTCTATGGAAAAATTAATAGGCCATGTGATTGCCAGAAAAGCACAAATCATGTCTCTCCCTGAGTCTGGGAAACGGTACAACCATAACACTAAAGAGATCCTCTGGCTGCTCTTATTTTCTCAAGTTCTGGTTGAAATTTTGAAACATATTGTATTCATTTTAGAGGGGAGAAAAATCTGCAAACTGGAGCAGTTTGAGCAGCCCATCTGTTGTGGGGCCAGCAAGGAGCTGACCTGGAACCGGGAATCGGGGAGTAGAACACAGGAGTGGGTGTCAGCCACACAGAACCTGGAGCCCTGCCAGGCCCCCGATCTGTTAAAATCTGATAGAGCACAGAGGGAGGCCATCACTTCCGCCTTACTCCAGGCACAATGGGGACGCTGTAGGTCACATGTCCCCCCTGTGTGTGTGCAGAAGTTAGTGAGCTTTGTTCTTGGTTGTTTATCTTGGAATCTCAAAGGTGCACTGTACCCGCGGCAAGCATGTTTGGCATTCCTCAGCAGTCTCTGGATCAGACACCAGGCCACAGGCACTGCCCATGCCAGAGACCCCACGGCTGACGTCTGAGTCACGTGGCAGAGGTGTCTTTAAGGCTTTGGCGAAAGTCTATTATTTTGTCCCAATTGCTGACGTAATTTTGGCCTCCTTCCTTCTTCCATATCACTCTCATTTGTGAATATTTTGTGTTAAGAACTGGGGGAAAGGATTTTACTCGATTTCGAGCTCTTTCAGCAGAGGCACATGTCTAACCTTACAGTGAAGAGGAGGCGCCTCTACATTTTTGAGCCTTTACATGGTAACTAGGTCACTGACAGCAACTTAAACGGGGCCTCCCTGTGCAGGCTTTTAGTGCCCGGTCTCAGAAGGCAACAGAATGCCTACTTACTCGGATAATGAATGCATGAGTGTGTGTGAGTGTGTCAGAGTACATGGTCAGCTCCACAGCTGTCCTGTCGCAGGACTCACTATTTAGCTTACGCTGACACTGGCCTCAGAGCCTCTGACTTCTGCTCGATCAGTGGGTGGGCTCCTGTCACCTGCACACCTGCTTGGGAGGGCTCCAGTGAGCAGAAAAGAGAACATTTGCTCTCAGGGGAGAAGCAAAAGATGATGAGAAAGAAGAAAAAAGGGGTGGAGTAAGGAAATAACGACAAAAGGTGAGAAGAGGCAAAATAGGGACTTTTTAACTTCTTTGCCTTTTTAGTCTTTACCTTCCACCCCTTTCCTACCCCCAAGAGTGCATTTCCTCCATATTCAGAAATTCTGGGGAGCCCTTTTCAGTGAAAACATAATTACTGCCTTCAAAACAGCTCTTGCTCTGTATAGTTATTCACACACAACATTATTTTGTGAAAGTTATTAGAAAATCTTGAGTTAGTAAAAATGAATTAAAGAAACAAATCATATTAAATTTTTTTTAACAGCATAGGTGAAGGAGTTAAAGTATGTAATGAAGACACTTCACAAACTTATTGGCTTATATTTCTTGGAGTTTTGTTAAATGGGGGTTGACAATATGTTAATATGGCTTCACATTAATTTGTAAACCATTAAAATGAAAGATAATTTTGCATAAGTATATCCTCATTGTGTGAGGTCGCCTCCGGCATGGTATGAATATATCACCTTTCATTAGAGGTGTGCCAGAGAGGGGTGGCCCAGAATTATGAAAGCGGGGGCTGCCTGGAAAAAACAAAGGCAGAGTGTGTGTTTGTTCCTGGGAAACACATCATGTCAAACACACTAAAAGACCTACATTTGCTTGGCTTACTCTACATTCTGTGGGTTAGGTATGAGTATGGAATATAGCACCTGACTTTTGTCCTTGACTCTAGATTCTTGTGGTGATTAAGACAGTCATTTCCCTTTTCCTTGACTCTGTTCCCTAACCTGCTGCTGAGTCCTTCATCCCCAGTCGCTGGCTTGCCTGGGACAAGAACAGGAATTGTCATACACAGCCAAAGTTGCTCACAACGGGACCAGCAGTTTCTCCACGGATCTTCCTGAGCGTGTCCTTGAATAGCTCTGCCAAAGATGCTTCCAGGCAGCTGCTTTCCAAGAGTGCAGCAGCCCCATACAAGCTAGTGGAGGCCCAAGGAAGTGGAGAAAGTTCAATAAAATTGAAAATAAAAACAAAAAAATGATCTGGAACTTTACAAAGACTAAATGTATAGACCTTACTCCAGCAGACACTGAAGAGTGAGGTTTAAATTATTTTTGGGGAAAATGCAGAGGTGGACAGCAGTTAATAGAATTGGCATCAATGTGTTAATCCCGATGCCTTTATAAAAGCCATTTCAAAGATAACTTAGTGGAGCAAAATGAACAGGAGTTTCAGAGTCAGAAGAAATTACGGGTTGGATCTGTGAAATCCGATCACGTTTTTTTATGCCTCCAGCACTGCATCCTAACAACATTGTGCAGGAGGCCACACCTGAGCTTTAGCATGTACTGCAGGGACCCTTGCGGCCACTGTACTGGGAACAGGCCCCGGAGAAGCCCATCCTTTTGGCAGAGATAATAGGGTGGAAGACGTGAGTTCTCTCTGTAAGGGAAGGTCTGTGGGGGAACTATACCAACTATGGCAAGAAGGAAAAGACAGGAGAAGTGAACATTTAGAAGGTAGTGATGAACTGAGCAATGTGCAGCCACCAGACAAAGGAGGCTCCTGATGTGCAGGAATGAGGGAGACTGGAGAGTAAAGTGAACACTCACATCAAGAATTTCCTTGTTGGCCTTTGGAGAAGTGGCTTCTCTTAATTCCTTGATAGCCACAGGGATTTTAACCTTCTCGCCTTCTGGGATCCAGAGTCCCTGTGACAGAGAAAGGGAAGACATGAACTAGCAGTTGACATTCCGTGGCAGGCCACTGCTGAGGGAGCCGGATGGCTTGTAGGTAACCCACTCCACAGGAGAAGGGATGTGGAGCTGCTCTGCACCCCAGGGCCATGGGTGCTGAGGTCCCGTCTCTTAGCTGCCCCTTACCTACCATGTTCGTGAGTCAGAGCAGTTCGTTAAATTATAAAAACAAAAAACAAAACCCTGTGTCCCTGCAACCAGTGCAGAACATTTTGTTCAGAATTCCCAGATGCCAGGTCAAGGCCTAATTGAAATCACACATTTACATCCAGAAAAACAAGTAATAGGAAGCTCTCCTGACCTGGGCTTCATTCAGAGGCTCTCATGAAGTATAGGTTCCGACCCGCCTCTGCCCCAGCCTCCTCTGTGCTGCTCGCCCTCTGAAGCTCAGGGCTGCTGCCCACAGTAATGCTGTGTCTGACTACATGTCTCACAGGAACACTCATTTGTCATGCAATTATGGAAGATTCCCTCTCGACAACGTGATGAAATCTGCCAAACCTCAGAGGCACATGAGCAGACTGCAACTGAGGGCTCTGGGCCTGCCCATGAGGACTCACTTTGTACACTGTGCCAAACGCTCCAGAACCCAGAACCTTGATCTTTTTGAATTCTGTTTCCTTTAAGATCCTCAAGAGCGCTTGGTTGGGTGCTTCTCCACTGGGTGTCAGGGGCTCTACAAGCTGCAAGACAAGGAGGAAACAGGGACCTTCAGCTCATTTCAATGCAATGGCAATATATGACAAGGGGAGTGTAAGGGCCCCTCAGCTCAGAATACAGCAACGTAGGGGGTGGCAAGAGGGAGAGAGTACCCCTCACCCCAGTTCAGCAGCATGGAGGGCAGGGGCTGATAAGCCCATCTTGGGGCAGCCCCTCAGTTCAGCACCAAGTGCCCTGTGTGCGTGCGAGTGCGTATGGTAGGTCCAGACAGCCACATGGTCCCATGTTAGCACAAGAACTGATGCTCTCATTTAGAGGGAGAATGGAACCTTCCCTGAAGAACATGATGAAAGAGGAGGATAAACCAGGAGCTCTGAATGAGCCACATTTCAAGAAACCAATTTCCATTTTTGCTTCCAAGTCAAGCAGCTGGATTGAGGATGTTGTGGTGAGGAACATTTTCATATGGTGTCATTTTAGTAGGCTGTTAGACCCACAACACACAAGCCACGCGCCCTGAGCTGCTCTGGGGTCCTCCTCCCAGGACTGTGGCATGGGCACATGGCCGGACAGTCACATCAGACCGCAGAAGTCAGCCATGGTGTGGACAGGGGCATTTTTCAAATAATAACACCTTCATAGTAACTTGAAGGGGTCCATTCATGAGGCTGGTCTGCTGGGCATGTGCATGGGTCTGTATTTTTACCATTCTGTGGAACTTACTCTAGAAACATGTGCGTTCCAACGGATAGATGTACCAAAATCTAACTACATACATGGGCAGTCAGAGATGCTTTTCCATTACAAAAAATAATACAATTAAAATAAAATACTAGGTCTCTCTGGTAGCACAGGTGGTTGAGCGCAGTGCTGTGAAACTCTCCGCAGCCTCTGCAGCCTGGGTTTGATTCTGGCCAGCCAGGGAGATACCCACATGGTGTGGCATACCTCTCCTGCCGCACCCACTGCTTCCCTCAGCAGTGTCTTCGGTCTGTCTGCCTGTTCTGCTTCCCGCTCTGTCTCTAGTGAATCCTCTTACCCTCCCACACCTCTGGCCTGTACCCTAGTTCTTGTATAAATACATAAATAAATAAATAAATCTTAAAAAAATAAAATAAAATACATAATAAACCACACAATTTCAAACAAGTCTTCAAGGCTAGTCCTGCTCCTGTCTTGGTTAGTGGAGGCTTCAGAGGGGTGCTGGGAGATTCCTCTCTGGGGTGGTGGGTGATTTTGGGGGCATGCTGTGGTTCCTCTCGGCTAATGGGAGGTTTGGAGAGTAAAATTTCCTGAGGGCCCTGATGGGGGGCACAGGGCCAGGAGCACTCACCTCTCTCTCCTGGAGCAATCTTCGCAGGGTGCGTTTCCGGACGATGTGACGTCTGCGCACAAACAGGCCGACCCCAAGGGCCACCACCACCACCAGCAGGAGACCCCCCACGATGCCTATGGCAATGGATGGGATCTTGGACCTGGAATGAAATGTTGACATGGGAGGGTGAGATTTGCTGGCAGGTTTCATTACATTGGCAATTTACATGTTCCTGCATATTTTGATACACTGCCATCATTTGAAACCATCTCCAAAAGTAGAACATTCTGAACCAAGAGTTTCAGGCAGTTTCCAACTTCCTCTAGTAAAAAGTTCCTCTCAACTTCCCCCACCTGCTTTTCCTGCATTTAAGAAAATAATCTGGTCCTCTCCATATGATTATATTTAACTGTGTTGATTATAAAAACACATAATTCAAAAAAGTAACTCAGACTTCACTGATGCTTTTTCTATCAGTGTGTGTCTCCAGAGAATGTCCACATTTGAAGCATAGCACCCTGAATCTATGAGTATCCTAGGTTCACAAGTAGCTCAAGTACAGAAACACCTTAGATGCAGGAGAACCCCAGACCCATGAGCACCCCAGAAGCCGGGACATAAAGTGTCTATTAGCCAGCCTAGGGAAAGGGCACCTTCGACAGTGGTGTGACTCCTGGAGGGGGGTCCCTAGCTCGCAAGACCACACCTAAGTGACCTGCTTTATGACTGGGTCTGGAGGAAGCTATATAGTAATAGGCTTTCAATGTAAAGAGCAAGACTATTATAGATGAGGAAGTCGCCACGCAGCCCCAAACCGCTCCTTCCTCCCATGGGGGTTGTGTCTAATTTCAGGGAGACCCAAAATCAGAACCTAGGTTTTTAAGCTCTCTGGGAAAAGAACTATTGGAATCTGTAGATTCTAATTTTAGAGTCTTTCTAAAGGCATCATTCTCAGGTAACCATCACATCTGAGTGTGAACATATTCTTAATTAATGTTCTGGGACTGACTGTCCCTGGTCTAGCAGGCAAGAGAGCAAAGTCAGTTGCAGAAAGTCAGAACAGGCCCTGTCCTGTTCTGTGAAGCATCATGCAGGAATCTGATACCTGTGAGAAACCAACCTTTCACCTCCCCAGGAATGACCAATGACTAGAGATTTTAACAGTGAGCACCCAGCCTTTGTGTCTCCAGAGTGAATTCTTTAGAAATCAGGAAAGTGGCTAAGTCCCTGTGCTAACTTTTCTTTAGGTCAAGGTAACTGAGGAAATCTAAAGATCTAAACCTATAGATTAAAAAGCAGAAGTCCCCATCAGGAATAATTGCATTTTGACATCAAGGACTGCTGTTCCTTTTCTTCTTCGGTGTGGTGTGCCACTCAGAAACAGATAAAGCAACTAAACTGAAACTTGTGATTGCTGAGCAGTTCTCATAGAGTAAAATCTATGTTTCCCAGGTTTAATCCCTCTTTTTGGTTACATAACAAAATCCTTGCCTAACTATCACTGAGACACTTTTTTCAGTTAACAGTTGGGGACACAATGAATGGACTCAGAAGAACTGCCTGAGAACGCTTAGAGCATTGAGGGGACCTGGAACCCTGGTACCAGCAAGGCCCACTCGGCCCATCCAGCATCCTGAGCCATGGCAAGGGTGAGTCCCTTGTGGTCTTGGGCCTCCCAGCTAATGGCAGATGGTCTTTGAGTTTACAAGAACCAGAAAACCATTGTTTTATGCTGTTTGGATGGGCACTTTATCTCTTTCAGGGAGGGGAATTCCAAACTGGATGAACAGGTTTTCTTGGATCTAAACCAGAGAACTAAAGGGAGTAAGTTTTCAACTGAAACTAAGTTTTTCATTTGGATTTTTAAGTTGACAGACTGGCTCAATTAATCAAAACAAAATCTATCATGAATGAGAGCCAGCTCAGGCTGACTCTTAAGACAAAGGACACCTTGTTCCCTCTGGCTGGCACTACAGTGTCTCAAGTGATTGGAGACCTAACAGAGGTGTCTGAGATAAGTTCCTGAGAGTTGATGTAGCCTCACAGAGAATTCTAGACTACACATCAGAATAGTTTGGTTCTTTTGGGGGTGGAGGGCGAGTGTTAGAAGGCTGATCACTAGCACCTGAGCTCCTACAATTACTTTAACTGTTAAGAAAACCAGGACACAGAGGCTGAACTGACCTGGGACACCCTTAGGAGCTGGGCTATAAGCAACACACACTAACCCACACCTTAGTCACTGATTTGATCGCTGAACCAGTATGGGAAATAAACCACCAACATGGAAAACCTGTGGGACCTCTCGTGACCAGTCACCTACCAGCACTTGGCAGAATTTATGTGTAATACTTACAGGGCACACATTTGTAACTGGCTATCTAAATGGGAGGTTGTTACTAAAATAGATCTCACTTTAAGAAGATCAAGGCAGGATACACGGGAATTGATAAACTTGTGCACGCAACTACAGAAAGCTGGCTCAGAAATCAAGCAAAAATGTTTCTAAAAGTAAAGCTAAAGTTTGATAGGAAAGGCCTTAAAATCATGTCTTACCAAGATTATGGCCTTTGAAAATTCTTTTTAGGTCCATAATACTAAAAGGCCTTGCAGGTTTCAAATGCCACTAGGGGGCTCTTTTGAGCTTCTGAAGTGTGCTAAATTCATACTTAAATGAGTGCAGTAGGGTCAAAAAAAAACTAAAAAGAATAAAAAAAAGTCTACCTTTTTTATTTTTGTCATCTTCCTTTTCTGCATTACCACCCACCTTTCCTTCCAGAAAACTGGGGCTTGGTTATAAAATTATGGCTGAACACAGCAGGGTTTTACTCTCACCAGCCTTTAGAGAAATTACATGAGTCTTTTCTTTGGTTATCTATGGAACAAGTCTGAGGTTTTCTCACATCATCAAAATGTTTTCTGTTCGTCTTGACAAAAAAAAAAAAACAAAACGAGATATTTAAAAGAACCTTTATAATAACTGTGATTAACACTGGCTGAATTAGAAAATGACATTCAGAGACTGAAATTTTTCTAAGACAGTATTTTCTTCTTTGCAGAACCAGTACTGCAAGTTTGCAAGGCAGCAATATCCCCAGAATACAACTGGATAAAGAAGAACGAAAATAGAAAAAAAGAGTTCGAAGCAGCTTCCTTGGCCACCTCTCCTCAGATGCTAAACTTAGCTATGTGAGAATATAAACTAGTCCTTTTCAACTGTTACAAAGCAGTAAGATTCACATTTATATGTGGAAAATTAAAAAATAAACTAAGAAATATCTGCATCTGCCTGCATGTTTAAGTATATATTTTGTTACTTTACCTGCAGATGGTAATGATTATATTTACATATATACACCTGTATAAATTATACCTGTATAAATTATTTATACCTACATAAATTATTTCAAAACTCAGAAATACAATAGAAACAAATTCAAAATGTTTTTTCCAAGAAAGTGCAATCTAGGATAATTTTGGTTAATGAGAATCAGCTTTAAAATTTAATGGTTCAGGGCCTCCCCGGTGGCGCAGCAGTTGAGCGCTGGATTGTGAAGCTGCCCGCAGCCTCTGCAGCGCCGGTTCAATCCCCGGCCGCTGGGTGAGGGTCCCACATGGCTTGCAGACCTCTCCTGCCGCCAGCTGCTTCCCTCAGCAGTGTATTTCGTCGGTCTGCCTGTTCTGTTCCCTGCTCTGGCTCTGGTGAATTCTCTCACCCTCCTGCACTTCTGAATGTACCCAGTGCTTGTATAAATAAATAAATAAATCTTTTTAAAAAATTAATGGTTTAATTTAAAACATATGACTTTAAAGTTCTAACATTGGATATGATAGGTTTATTATCCATATTTATTTTAAAAAATCAGCTCATGTTACCTTATAAGAAAAATTTCTGACTTGGTCTTACGAATTTTAATGACAGGTATCAAGAAATAACGGGTCAAAAAAAAAAAGTCTTTTGTGTTAAGACCAAGTCACCAAATCTAATTTTGACCCAATAGGAATGACAAAGTTTTCTGATCAGGTAGACTTGCTTGAAAAGGTAATATAAATAAAACATTTAGCAGGAAAGTTTTTTAGAGAGTGGAGCAAGTTTAATAAGGAAAGGAAAGGATTACGTTAGACACGAGGACTTTTGCTACAATGGATCTGGATTCCTTCCAAGGGAGAAGCTGAAGCTGCAACCTCTTGGATATTAAACCTTGATGGAAGTTTAACTCCATTTTGAATCTGTTTCCTTTAACACGACTAAAGTTACCCAAATCTTTTTTGGGAAAATTAAATTTTTATTAGGTTTAATAATGGGAATTCATTGGCTATCTAAACCATTCTGCTGAAATGTATATATATATATATATATATATATATATGTATATATACACACACACACACACACATATTTCCACACCCAGAGGTTTAATAATTGGTTTGAGGCAGGACCGTTCATTGGAATTTATTTAAAGCTTTCCCGGAAGATTTCACCCCCTCCCCACCCTGACTTCTTTCTTTTTATCTATCTATCTATCTATCTATCTATCTATCTATCTATCTATCTATCTATCTCTCTCTCTATCTGTTTTTTTACTTTTCCTTTTGAAGCAATTTTCGATTTACAAAAAAGATGAAAAATAATACAAAGCAGCCCCTTATTTTCTTTCCCGCTGCTTTCCTAAATGCTCACATCTTACATAGCTACCAAAACCTAGGCAGTATCACTAATATAACAATATTCACTAATCTACAGACCCTGTTCACATTTCATCACTTACAATTTTGGATTATTTTAATTGTTACATTTCCTTAGTGTCCTTAAATCCCCCCCATTTGCATATCTTTGTGTTACTTAATTTTCATCTTTATAGGCAAAGCATAAAATACTACTGTGCTCTTGTTTTTTGTATGAACTGAGAAGAATGCTGCATAGTTATTGACTTCAAGTGATAATACATGCACTGGATGTTCACCATAGGATGGAGACCTGAAATTGCTTTAGAGACTGTCTTTAATTATGCTTTCTTAAGGTTCTTTATAACACAAATTCAAGAGGGCCAAAATTAGTTCCAGTAACAGAATATTGTATTAACCGATACAAAAAAATATTATGAATAATATTATGCAGAATATATTAGTGATTAAATAGTTCATTTTATCCAACTTCTTGGGTCATAAAACTTCCATATGATTCAAAATTTGCTTTCTTCACCATCATCCCTTAATCTCTGAGTCCTAACTATGTTTATTTTATTTATTTATTTAAAAAAATATTTATTTATTTATTTATTTATACAAGCACTGGGTACAGTCAGAAGCGCCGGAGGGTGAGAGAATTCACCAGATCCAGAGCAGGGAGCAGAACAGGCAGAAGGACCGAAGTACACTGCTGAGGGGAGCAGCGGGCGGCAGGAGAGGTCTGAGTGCCATGTGGGACACTCGACCTTCCCCTAAACATAGGGGAAGCCCCTATGTTTATTGATATCCATCCACTAGCTTTTGAAAGTGTTTTAGTTGTTGCATTGTCTGCTGTGTGAATGTCCAGTATTTGCTTTTGTAGTTATGATTTACTTTGTTGCACAGAATTCTCTCAAGTTCCCTCCATTTTATTGTAAACAGCTACATTTCATCCATTTGTATGACAACATAATACTCCATGGTGCATAGGTACCACAGCTTCTTGATCCATTAATCTGTTGAGGAGATTTAGGTTACTTCCATGTCCTAGCTATTCTAACTAGTGCTGCTGTGTGCACTGTGGAACATATGCCCAACAGTGAGACTGCTGGGTCATATAGTATTTCCATTTTTGATTTTTTAAGAAAAATCCAGATTGCTTTCCACATGGGATCACCAGTTCACATTCCCCCAAGCATAGAATAGGATTCCTTTTTCTTCACATCTTCTCCAGCACTTGTTATTGGGGGTCTTTTTAATATGTCCCTTTTTCATGGGTGTGAGATGGTATCTCACTCTGCATCTTTCCTATCAGAAGTGATAATGAATACCTTTCATATACCTTTAAGGCTTTTGATGTCTTCTTTGTTGAATTGTCAGTTCATATCTGCTGCCCATTTGTTAATTGGATTATTTCTTTTTTATTGTTGAACTGTATGAGTTCTTCATATATCTTAACTATTAGTCCCTTATCAGTTGTATATTTTCTCCCATTCAGTAGGGTGTCTATTTAATAGTCCTGTATTTTCTTTTGCTGTATAGATGCTTTTTAACTCAAGGTAATCCCAATTGGTTATTTTTGTTTTCAATACATTGCCATAGGGTTGAGACAGCACAAATATCTTTATTATTGATATAATAGAATGTGACATCAATATTTTCTTCTATGTGTTTTATTGTTGCAGGTCCCATATGTAAATCTTTAATCCATTTGGAATTTAATTTTGTATATTGTGTTAGTGAAAAATCCAAAGTACATTCTTGTATGTGTGGCTTTCCAGTTTTTCCAGCATCATTTATTAAGAGACCGTCTTTTCCCTATTTTATGGTCATGAATGGTTAATCACAGGTTAGGTGCTGGCATGTGCATGAATTTATTTCCATGTATCTATTTTTGCACCAATACCAAGTAAATGGAGTTATTTACTTAACTTCTTTTTTTAAAGATTTATTTATTTATGCATACATGAACTGGGTTACAGGCCAGAAGTGTGGCGGGGGTGGGGCAATTCACCAGAGACAGAGTGGGGAACAGAACAGGTGGATCAACTGAAACATACTGCTGAGGGGAGCAGCGAGTGAGTCAGAAGAGGTCTGCTGCGCCATGTGGGTATCTCCCTGTCCGGGCATCAAACTCGTGCTACAGTGTCTGTGGAGAGCTTCATAGGTTGCGCCTTGCGCCACCAGGGAGGCCTTTACTTAATTTATTTTGCTTCTTGTTTGTTGTTTGTATATAAAAAACATTATGGCTTTTTCAATTTTTTTTTAATTGAAGTAACCTTGGCTGATATCATTGTTGGTGTTAGAAATATAGGATCTCCCTCTTCAGCTATATTAGGGAACATTTCATCTTCCTGTATTTTTATTTTATTATTATATTTTTTAAAGATTTATTTATTTACATTATACAAGAACTGGGGTACAGGTCAGAAGCACAGGAGGGTGAGAGAATTCACCAGAGCCAGAGCGGGGAGCAGAACAGGTAGACAGACCAAAGACACTGCTAAGGGGAGCAGTGGGCGAGGCAGGAGAGGTCTGCTAGCCATATGGGGTTCTCCCTGGCAGGCGGGGAATCGAACCGGTGCTGCAGATGCTAAGGACAGCTTCGCGGAGCGGCGCTCAACCGCTGTGCTACCGGGGAGGCCCCTTCTCCTTTCCGTATTTGTAAAAACAATTTGAGCAAGATGGGCATTAGTTCTTTAAAAGTTTGATAAAATTCATCTGTAAAACGATCTGATGCTGTGTTTTTGCTTTTTGAAGATTTTTTTTAATGCTTTTTAGTTATTTATTTTTTTAACATTTACCATTTTTTAAACTTTTTTTAGACAATATTTGCTTCCCCCTTTTTGAAGATTTTTTTTATTACTGTTTCAACTTTCATATTTGTGATTGGTTTGTTCAGTTCATTTATATCTTCTTGGGTTAATATTGGTAGAAACATAGGTCTAGAAATTTATCCATTTCTTCAAGGTTATTGAATTTATTGGCATATAGTTGTTCACAGTAATATCTTACAATCTTTTGTCTATCAGTGCTATGTATAGTGATTTCTCCTCTTTGATTTGCTGTTTTGTTTATTAATGTTTTCTCTCTTCCTTTTTTTGTTAGTCTAGCTAGAGTTTTATCTATTTTACCATCTTGAAGAAACATCTCTTAGTTTCATTGATTTTTTATGTAGTCTTTTTGAGCTCTATTTCTGCTCTTAGTTGTATTATTTCCTCATTCTGCTGAAATATTAATTACTGAAATTTTAGATTTTTTTTGACTTTTTATTGCAGACTAAACAAATTTTGTATCTACAAGTAAAATGTGTCTACTTTTCTTAAAAATTATACTGTATATGATGCTATGATAATTTTTACAATTGCTTACACTGGAAACTAAGATTTAAGGAATAAGAGTTCTAATTAACACATTGAATTAAAGCTAATGAAAATATATCCATATGTAAAGAAAAAAGATGTATTCACTAAAAAAGAACGTTTAATGAATGTAGACTTTTTTGAGGAAAAAGAAAGATTTAGTTTCAAGCTAGACCTGGTTATTTAATATGGAAAAATAAAAGGAAAGTGTAAAAGTTTTGTGAAAGAGAAATCTTAGGAAAAGAAACTTTTTGTGGTCCAACTGGATAAAATTAAACAGTTTCAAGAATTTTTAAAGGTTAAACTTTAACATTAATTGTATACTTAGGCAAGGAAACATTTTCTTTCATCCCTTAAAAAGACAAAGTATTTTATTATTTAAAAAAGCTGTGGGCAGCTTTAATAATAAATTGTAAGCCATTTAAGTAATAAAAATCTGGTGTTCTTTTACTCTCAGTCTTGGTACAGTGAGAGAAATCTAATTCTGTCAGCTGAAATGTGCTGAACCATGTCAGAGATATTTGCTTTTAAAATCTTTAATTGTCACTCTGGATAATTTAATATTGTTTCATATAAATCTATGAAAATATCTTAAACATGTTCATGTTTATGACAAAAGTGCTCTGAAATGAAAAATTCTAAAAATAATAGTCTTTGCTTAATGAAAAGAAATGGAAAAATAGAAGTCTTAGAAAAATTCCTGAGGCATCTCATAAAAATGATTCCTTTCCTCCTGTGGAAAGACAGATATTGAACAAATTAGACTATTCAGTGTATTAAAACTTCATGGGAGACACTGCCGCATAAGGAGAAATGTTTAACCTCCTGAGCATGCATGTAAATACTAATATGAGTGTTCTTATATGAAATTTCTAAAAGTCTAGTGTATTGTTATAATTTACATGTAAATTACAGTTATTACTCTAAAATAGTTTATGCCACAATACAAAAAAATCGGGCCTCCCCGGTGGCGCAGCGGTTGAGCGCTGGGTTGCGAAACTGCGCGCGGCCTCTGCGGCGCCGGTTCGATCCCCGGCTGCTCCCCGGCCACCGGAGGAGAGTCCCACATGGCGCGCAGGCCTCTCCTGCCGCCCGCTGCTCCCCTCAGCAGTGTACTTCGGTCCTTCTGCCTGCTCTGCTCCCCGCTCTGGCTCTGGTGAATTCTCTCACCCTCCCGTGCTTCTGACTGTGCCCAGTGCATGTATAAACAAAAAAAAAAAAAACAAACAAACCAGCAAACAAATAAATAAAGCATGCCTCTATTAAAAAAAAAAAAAAAAAAAAAAAACAATACAAAAAAATCCTTGTCAATTTTGTTATAATCCTATCTTTAAATATGATCCTTTTAAGGTCTTGTGTCATTAACAGAAGACATTTATTCTAATGTTTTGTATTCATAAAAATACACAGGAAAATGACTTTGGTAAATACTCCAAAATGAATATTTATGATGAAAATGAATGAGGATTAATTTTAGAGCTTATGGAAAATTTCAGAACACATGGAAAAAACCGGACTCAAATATTGCTAACAAGTGTTCAAGATCTACATGGGCTGAATGAACTATGGAGGACTAAAATAAATTTTAATGACTTGTTTAAAATATTACTAGTTCTCTTATGCTTTGCTTTTTCCATATTAAAAAAAAAACCTACATTCTCCTAAGTTGACTATGACTACAACAATGGTAAATTAGATTTTTTTCATGAGTAGAGCCCGCAAAATGTAAAATTTTTAGATTCTAGAAGTTCTATCAGAAAAGGAGAAAAGGGTAGAGAAAGTCACTCCTCAATGGAACCAGGAACCCCAGGGCTTTTGGGGGACCTTAATAAAAGAGAATTTACACAAAGATAAAGGGAACACAGGAAGAACTATGGTAAGAATACATGAATGATTCCCTGAGCCTTGAGAACCTGCCGGAAGAACTCATTCTAAATGCTAGAAAAGCAAATTGAGAGTTTATATGTATGTTTCTGTTCTTACTCTGTTTACATACACACACACACACACACACACACACACACACACACACAGAGAGAGAGAGAGAGAGAGAGAGAGAAACAAAAAACCTGCCTAAGACCTAATTTACAAAGAAAGTTTACCATGGTTATTAGAAGAATTGGGGTGAAAGTGGAGAGAAAAATGTATTTCAGTAACTTATTTTCTGTGGAAATGAGATCATGGTCCTCTTAATCACTTTAAAAGTTTTTACCATCTCCCTGTGAACTGGATTGATTCCTAAATTTTACTAGTATCTGCGTATGACTTTCCAAATGAAGGTTTCCAGTTTTTCCTGCCAATCTCTTTGACTTAGTTTAATTAAAACCTCTGACTGATCTTCTCTTGAAACCATGAAGTTGGAAATGGAGAATCTGATAAAACTTCAGAGAGGTCACTGCAGTGACTGCATGGACATGATTTACTGTTTTCTACATATCCGATGACATCAGAGAGCTGAAACCCAGGAGAAACTGCCATCTGAAGATGCTTTGAAATACCGACTTGTTGTTTGCTTCAATTTTTGACATTTGTTTTTTCCCCATGTGCTTCTTATTATTGCTTGCACCCGCCTACAGAACTGCCTCTAGAAATTGGACACAACTGTTTGACTGAACTCTGAACTATCTAACACAGGCACAGTGGGTAAAATTATTATAATTGAATAAACAGACTTATGATAATATTGACTGGGAGATTAAATTGAAACCTCCCAATAAAATTGTTTCCATAGAGATCCAATGTCCTGAGGAGAAACTACAACTTTGGACGATGAACTCATGGATAGTCTCCACAAAGTAACAGAAACTCACACAAAGTTCAAATCTCAACTGACAAAAGGGAAAATGGAATAGTTCAGCTAGGTAAGGAATCTGATCATGTTTGCACTGAACTCTTGGTTGGATTGGCTGTCTTTTTAACTCTTTACCTTCTCTTACAAGTAAGTATAGCTTTAATTATTATTATGTTATTGTTACACTCTATTATAAAAGTTACAAGTGATGTTGGCTTTAAAAATTATGATAGCACCTGCACTCCTATGATTATAGCAGAACTATTTACAATAGCTAAGCTTTGGAAACAACCCAAATTCCCAAAAATAGATGACGGGATCAAGATGTGGTACATATACACCATGGAATATTACTCAGCAATCAAAAAAGATAAACACATGCAGTTTGCAGCAACATGGATGGAGCTGGAAGGGATCATGCTCGGTGAAATAAGCCAGAAAGAAAAAGGAAAATACTGGATGGCTCACACATAGCAGGAATCTAGAAAACCTAAATAAGAGACCAGGGAAAAGAGTAACTATAAGAAAGAAAAAATCTAAATCAACAAACAGCTATGACCCAGAGACACACTATGGGGGGGGCAGGGAAAGCAGGGATTGGGGTCAAAATAAGGGGGCTGCAATTGTATGGGGAATATAAAAATAAAATAAAATAAATTAAAAAATAAATAAATAAAAGAAATCTTGGAAAAGTGAAAAAAAATATGATAGCCCAGTACATGGAATTATTAAAATACACAATGACAAATGAAACGCAAGTTTAATTTTATATTTTCTGATAAGGCACTAGGGCACCAGGGTTAAGGGTTTGGATCATGATGGAAGGTGGATGTGATCATGCACACTTCTAGGTGAAGTACAGGTAAAACATTCAAGAGGTGCCCTAATGCTGGATGGAAGGTGTGATATTGGTCACAAATACAATGACTAAAGGTTGATCATGATCAAAAGGGAGGATATTGTGGACATATTCTTAATGTTCTGGGACTCCCCATCCCTGGGCTAGCAGGCAACAGAACAAAGCTATTTGCATGAAGTTAAAACAGGCTCTGTCCTGTTCTGTGAAGCAGCACGCAGGAATCTGATGGCTGTGAGGAGCCAACCTTTCACCTCCCCATGAATGATTCAGGAGCCAGCTAAAGATTTTAACACTGAGCACCTAGCCTTTGTGTCTCCACAGCGCATTCTTTAGCAAGCAGGAAAGTGATTAAATCTCATCATTTTTCCTCCTCTGTACATGAATAGTATTGACATTTCTTTAGCTCAAGATAATTTAGGAAACTGAAAGATCTAAACCTATAGATTAAAAACCAGAAGCCTCATCAAGAATAATTGCATTTTGGGCCTCCCCGGTGGTGCAGCGGTTGAGCACTGGCTTGCAAAGCTGCCAGCAGCCTCTGTAGCGCCGGTGCAATCCCCGGCCACCGGGCGAGGGTCCCACATGGCGCGCAGACCTCTCCTGCCGCCCGCTGCTCCCCTCAGTGTACCTCATCACTCTGCTTGTTCTGCTCTCCACTCTGGTGCATTCTCTCACCCTCCCGCGCCTCTGACTGTACCCTGTGCTTATATAAAATAAAATAAATAAATCTTTAAAAAAAAAAAAGAACAGTGATGTACATAAAAATTTTAATAAAAAATAAACTTAAAAAAAAAAGAATAATTGCATTTCGACATCAAGGACTGCTGTTCCTTTTCTTCTTCTGTGTTGTATGCTCTGTAACAAGTATGTAAACTAAACTGAAACTTGTGATTGTTGGAACAGTTCTCACAGAGTAAAATTTGTTTCCCAGGTATGAATCTTTTTGGGATTATCTAATAAAATCATTATTTAACTACCATTGAGACTGTTATTTCAGTCAACTTGAATTTCATATTTTTAGAGAGAAATGTAAATGAGTTTGGAAGATTAATTAGTAACATCATTTGCACAAAAACATGTGCCAATGTTCTTACAAATTTCTTATAAGTAGGTCAAATGAACTTTAAAAAAATGAACTTTAAAAAAAAAATTTCTTCTTAGAGAATTCAAAAATCATCTTACATTATTCTATTTCCCCAACCAACATAGTTGAGATTCATGTCCTTGAAACATAGGGTTTGATAAGGCCAACTGGGTTAGTGAGGGAAATAAGAGAGAAGGTAGATGCAGGTTATGTGGATTGAAGTGCTGGCATTGAGCCCAGCTCCCCGGAGAAGCCCTACACTTCATGTCCTATGTCCTGGACAAAGTGGGTAGGGGAGCCCGGGGGTCCCATGTGTGGGCTATGCTAGTGGGGACTGCTGCTGGCCCAGAGGAGGAGGTAGAACCACACTGGCAAGAGTGCAAGCGGCAATGCAGGGAAAACACCAATTTCATCCTTAGCATTGTGGCTATTTCTGATAGTTTATTAGACACAAAATTATTACTTACCCATTCGGACAGCCCTCAAGACCTGGCCCATCACAGCTGTAGGAATTCAAAGAGAAACACATTTTGATCATTCAAACTTTTTAGCATTTTTTCTTGATACATTTTAAAGTGATTCTTAAGGCACTATATATTAAATTACTCTTAAATAAATAAAATCACATTACTTCTTAATATAGGGGCAGTGGTAAATCATTTAGGCATTATGAACTTATTCATTTGTTCATTCACACAGCACATATTTTTGAATGTCTGTGACAGGGATTATTCTAGCATTGAACAAAGTAGACAGTTTCTAGTTTTCATTAGTGAAATGTTTCCATGTATTATGTTAATGTAGGTAGAGCTGACTAGCATGTCAAAATGGCAATATGGCAGGGGAGCTGAAGGAGCAGAGTTGAGAACCACTTCTGGGCCATACTGATTAAGAAGTAGGGGGAGGAACACCTGAGGGGAGACATGAGTCTGATGGCAGGGAAATGACATTGATGGTGTCACAACCAAAAGCTGGAGCGAGAGCTGGCTCCATCTCCTCATGCAGATGAAATGTCTCCAGTGCAGCAGAGATGACATTTGTCCTAAATGGACTCTTGAGCAGCCAGCATCTCTTGCCCATGGAGGAGACCATGGCTGTCATTCTGATTATAGGACAATATCTTAAAAGACAGAATAAGTTGGCTTTGATGTGCAGCAACCTTTGCCAGTACTAACATAAATAAGAAAATAAAATAAGCTAGTTAAGTGGAAAATCCTGACATCCCATGGCCAGGGGAAGATGAAGCACTACATTCAAACGTTTGAAGAGGCCTGGGATGCTCATTTGACACTGTCACCTGATCTGACATTTCCCATTTCACCCAAAGGCTCTGACTGCTACACTCTGCCTTGTTGGTCTTGAGGGCTGTGCTCCCTTTTCCACATACCAAATGACACAGCCTTGCCCCTATGGGGTGTTTGGCCTGTGTTCCTACATAGGCCTCTTCCGGGTGTAGACCACATGGGAAGCCTCCTAATTTCACAGTCTACTTTCTCCTCAGCAAACCCAAGCCATCACAGATAACAAACCTTTACTGATGAATGACCACTGATGATTTTTCAAATCCTACTCAAACTAAGGCTTCTCACTAGCACTTTTCCCATGATGCCTTGCAGCTCCTTGACTGTCACAGAATGGATGTGATGCAACATGAGTGCAGGTTAAAACTGCAAATTCTGGACAAGATGCAGGGTTTCTGCAGCCTGTGACAGTGTTGCTGGAAAACCTGCAAGGATTACTGGCAAGAAACTATTGAAAAATAAGAAGCTCAAAAGGTCTCCCTGGTGGCACAGGAGTTAAAATCTCAGCACTATGGAGCTATTGCTAGCCACCACTGCATGAGTTTGATCACAGCCAGGGAGATAACCCACATGGCACAGCAGACACTCTCCTGTCTTGCCTGCTACTCCTCTCAGCAGTGTGTTTTGGTAGATCTGCCTGTTCTGCTCCCCACTCGGTCTTATGAATCCTCTCACCCCCATACCTCTGGCCTACATCCCAGTTCTTCTACACAAAAATAATTTTTTTTAAAGAAGTTTAGAAGGAAGGACAGGCCACTTTCCATTTGAAGAGATGACCAACAAGGACAGTGACAGACAGGTGCCCTCTGAGTGAATGGTATGACTAATAAAAGATTAAGAGGTCCCTGGGAAACTTGAAGTTGCCCCGGCATAATTTTGCACAAATGATTGTTGAATATTAAATAAAAGTGGCCTTATCATGCATGCTGTCATTTCATTTGGTGAGAAAAGTTATTCTCTGACCCCGCTGGATTTATTTTTTGTTAAATATAATTAAGATAGGCAAAATTCTTTTTTTACGCAAACTTTTTATATGACTTAGCTTATTAGGATAAAAATTTAAAAGAAAATTTCTCACTACTTACTATAAAAATGTAGTTCTTTCAGGTAGTATATACACACGCTGATTTTCAAGATGGATGGAAATGTGTAGGATGTTATAATGGTATGTTACTTCAATTAAAAAAAAAGGGAAATGTAGTTCCATTTTAAATGGATTTGTTTTAAGTTCCTTATCTTTTCTCTTGGGTAAGGGAACTGCCCTGGTGGGAAGGGGATGACTTTTGGAAGCAGGCTTCCCCGTCCTAGACTAGATAGTGAGTGGAGGGATCACTGAACCTTTGAAAGTGTGCTTTAGTGGGGGAAAGTAGGGCAGTCACTGTGGGGAATCAAGGAGACTGTATCTGATATTGTGCCCATCACAAATACACAATAAAAGAAAATTTTCCCATTTTTCCTTACCCCATGAATATTCTACAAAATATAAAAAAAATAAATCTATTCCTCTCATGTAAGTCCTTCACTTTGGAAGAAGATACAGATAGTAATAAAAAAGTTATATAAAAATGTATGCTCTTCCAAAAACAAAAAAGACTAAGAATGAGGAAAGTAAACATTCTTGTGAAAGGTAAAATACTGATGAAGCTCTGTATGGCAAAAGCATAGCATCAAGATAGTACTTGAAATACAAGGAGAAACAGAAATTGTAGAAATACAGTTTTAGTGGGACATAGAATAGGAAATATAATTGTAGTGGGGACTAAAGTCAGACAATAACAACTTATTTGGATAAAAAGACATTAAACAAATAGTAATTCACATTTTATATTTAAATATTGACTGAATTGTGTCTACATTTGGCAGAATTGTTTTCTTTTCTTTTTTAAAGATTTATTTATTTATTTATACAAGCACTGGGTATAGTCAGAAGCATGGGAGGGTGAGAGAATTCACCAGAGCCAGAGGGGGAACAGAAGAGGCAGAAGACAAAATACGCTGCTGAGGGGAGCAGCGGGCGCAGCAGGAGAGGTCTGTGTGCCATGTGGGACCCTTGCCCGCTGCTGGGGATCGAACCAGCGCTACAGAGACTGCGGGCAGCTTAACAGTCCAGCGTTCAACCACTGTGCCACCAGGGGAGGCCCCAGAATTGTTTTCTATAAGGCAAATTTATTGAAAATTCCAACTGCCCAAAGACTTTCTGGTTCCCCAAGCCCTGCCTCAAACCCAGTGACATACACTCACAGACATGCAAACACATACACAGTTTACAGAAGCAAAAGAAGGAAAGATACAATTATTTTATACAGCCAATATAATATTATGTCAGAGCATGTGCTCCAAAATGACTTATTTTTAGGGGAATATAAAAAAGATTACTTTAAAAAAATAGCAGTTTTTACCATGATTTGTATAGTGAGCAAATAGTAAATACAACCAACACACTGATATGCATAAAGGGAAAGGTATGAAAAACTTAAATTGTTATAAGGGAGGAAATTAGTAAAATTCAAAATCCACTTCAGATTTAAAAATTAGGAAGGGCCTCCCCGGTGGCACAACAGTGTGAGAGCAGTGCTATGAAGCTGGATGCAGCCTCTGTAGCACTGGTTCAATTCCTAGCCGGCCAGGGAGATTCCCACATGGTGTGGCAGACCTCTCCTGTCTCGCCTGTTGCTCTCCTCAGCAGTGTATTTCAGTCATTCTGCCTGTTCTGCTCGCTGCTCTGTCTCTGGTGAATTCTCTCACTCTCCTGCGCCTCTGTCTTGTACCCCAGTGCTTTTATAAATAAATAAATCTTTAAAAAAATAAATTAAAAAAAAAAGTCAGGAATAGGTGGCTATTCCCTTAGTCAGATAATAAATAGCTCAGACTACTCTAGCAAATATTGTTGTTGATTCATTACAGTCATTCCCACCACCATGAAATAAAACATTCTGATATCCACAATCATTGTTTCTTATATTATTCTGCAAAATTTGGCCCTCGTAATACAAGCTGAAACTTTTAGAAAAGAGATGAAGATACCATTTTTGGAGATGATATGATTGTTTTCCTGAAAAATCAAGATCATGAACTAAAACACTATTTCTAAGCTCAGTAAAAAACTATCAGTAGAAGATGACTATGTATGTCCCCAATTAAAAGTCAGCTTATATATTAGCAGTAATAACTAGAAGCTACACCAGAAAGCAAGAGTCATTTCATTATAGCAAAAAGAAATACAAACATCATGAGAGGCTGAGGTTTCTCTCTGCACTTGTGAGCCATACTCTGCCCATGGGCCGGAGGCTGCTGCTGCATGGCCAGGCACACTGACTCAGACTTCTGCAATGTACTCCCTGGAAACTCTGCAGGCACATCCAACCTATGAATTTGCAGGATAGGAAACATTTTGTTCTTCTGCATTCCCCACTCACCCGTAGGTACAGTTGGCATGGCACAGGTGGCACACCCGATTGGCATCTGCAAACTTCCAGACCAGGGTGTTGTTTTCCCCCATGACACCCGCAGGGCAGGTCCTGACACAGTGGGGTCCATCGATGTAGTGGGCACACTTCACACAGTTGTCTGGTCCCTGCATTGAGGTGGAGAAATGCATTCATGTCTGTCTCCTTCAAAATTTGAGTAATTTTTACTTAAAATACTTATTGTGAAAAAGTCAAATGATGAAGAGTTTTGTAACTCAGGAAAGAGGTTCATTTGTGACTGCACTCACCGGATGTGACTGCTGTAGTGGCCTACTAGAAACCTTCATGACTACAAATGCATATAAAATAGAAAAATGAAAGAAACTATACTATATACCTTATTAATTTTACTTTGTACATTGTGGGTATCTTTTCTTATCAGAAAAAATCTTGGTTGGCATATATGTATATGTATATTATATGTATATGTATATGCGTGTGTGTGTGTGTGTGTTTGTGTCAGAGAGTGTATTTATATCCTTAATGATCAAGAGGATTTTCTTGCATATTTGTATTTTAAGTTAAAGGGAAGCTTGAGGGAAGTCAGACTCACTGAGGTAAATTTTAGAAAACCCACATCAGTGTTTCTCTGGAGACAAGAAGGTAGCAGATGTAAATGCAATGGTGGTTGCATAATTAACTGTGTAACATGCTAAACTTGATTCTATTTGTCAACCTTGGAATGTCCTGGTCAAACTCACAAAAACAAAGGGGGTCATGCCCCACACATTTTATAAAGTGTTTAAATAAAAGGAGTGAGGGTGTGTCTGCCTGTTGGCTGAATCTCTCTGTTGTTTCAGTTTCAAGTGTTCCCAGAGTCAGAACAACTGGATGACTGAGTCCGTATCACACCCATCACCTTATCTCCATGATGAAAATTTAACCCACCACAGCTATAAACTACTGTCAGCAGCCTATACACTCAAACAATTTAGAAAGACATTCTAAAAATGTTCTCAATTAGTGAATTTAGACCACTGGTGCTCAAATTCAAACAGAAATCCTTAAAGAAATAATGTTGAGAATTAACAACATAAGGACACTGGTGTGAGAGATAGCTGAATTATCAATTATACTTTGAAAATATTATTATTGAACATGTAGATATGAAACTTAATTTTAAAATGTTTTCTGAGGAGTTTTGTTTTTTTTTAATCTTTCAATATTTGTAAACTTTCAACAAAAATTTGATGATGCTTGATTATAATAATAAAGCAATGATGACCCAGGTCAGAAATAGTGAAAACTAACAGACAACACACCACATCCACTTCCGTGTTTGTGATGTGTTTGGGGACACAGGACAGAAAAGGCGTATGGTGATCCAGGCAGCTTGTGTGATGACTTGGGACTCAGTCATCACTCACAGAGCCTCTGACCAGCTCTGAGATGGCGCCTTTTTTTCTAGGAGGTTGGCACACATGACTGTTCTCGGCAGCCATGGAGTGATGTGAGGCTGGGCCCTGGTTGTGGTTCTGGGACTGTGAGGCTTTCCCTGTGCATGAGTGAGTGACACCAATATGCTCCTTACTCGTCCTGTGCAGGTGATGTTCATGACCTGGGGCAGGCATTCTGGATGACACTGTATGCACTCGGAATTTTCCACAAACTCCCTGGGCTCCCTGACAGGAGAGAGGAAAGCAATTAGTGTCCCTGAAGATGCCAGTTCGACACTCCAGGAGCTGACCACCGTCGGAGTTGATCTGTCCGACCCTACAGGAGAAACAAATTTACCTCTCAGATATTCAAAACAGTTTTAGGTAAAAGGCAAATGGTTGGGCTATAGGATTATCCTTTGATATAATAAACGAGACTATTAACTGAATCCTTGGTCCTTGGTCATCTTCTCCCAGAATAAACACATGGAAGCTTCATTTATAATCAAAACATCTTCCCGACATTTTCTTATAGGCACAGTTTCTGTACATTATTCAAGCCAGTCAACAATGAAAACATAGAAAATAGTGCCTAAGAGGGGCTTCTTATCAGACTCATGGAAATTTAAGCTGGAAAGAATTGGTAATTACAGCCTAGTGCACAGAAAAAGAACAGAAAGACATTAAAATTGGTCAGTGGTTATTACCAAAATCAGTAGGAATGAAATACAGTGAAAAATTTGGCTCGCCACATTTTTTTAAAAAATATTTATTTAAAATTTTAAAATGTTTAATATTAAGCAAGAAGACAAAACAATTTTTGAAAAGACTGAAACCTGTGTGGAAAGACTGAAACATACTGGCCAGGCAGTGAACAGAAATGTCTACACCTAAAATGTGTGCCATAAATTCCCCTTTCAGGACATGGCTCTAATTAAACCCAATATGCCCTGTAGTCTTTCTCTGCACTTCTCTGGGACAGGCTTGAACTGGGAGCAGGCGCAAGGCACCTGGTCTCTGATGGAAAAATGTGGGTACTACCAACACTGCTAATTTATCTACCTTGTTTATTTAAGGAGACTTGAACATTGAAAACAGGAGACTAGTTCTATTTGTAGCCATAAAGATTACACCAATATTTCTCACTTGCTGTAATAGCACTATCAATTATGCAAATTATTCTGTTAGGTTACTTGGCCTATCACCTAAAGGATTCCTACAGAATTGAACTTGTTCCTGCTCCTGAATATTTCAAATCCCACCTGTGGCCCAAATCCTGATAGCGACACAGGAAAAAGATTTCCCATAGTCATCTGTAACTGTTATGGCACTATCACAAAATTTGTTTCCTTCAAATGAAAAAATGATCTCAGTTTCTATCCTAAAATATTACTTTCTTATTAGTCACTATTCCTGGTCATTCAAAGTCTTCAGTGTCAAGATTCCCATAGAATCACGGTTTACTTTTCATTGATTACAAATAAACTGAAAAATTGTTACATGATTGTTTCTTTGTCCATTATTAAATTTAAGGTTATTTACACTTTTTTCAGAAATGACAAGTGCTGGTGAGGGTGTGGAGAAAAAGGAACCCTCTTACAATATTGGTGGAAACATAGACTGGTCTAGCCCTGATGGAAAACTGTGTGGAGGACCTTAAAAGACTAAAAACGGATCTGCCATAGGACCTAGCAATTCCACTCCTATGTATCTACCCAAAGAACACAAAAACACTAGTTTGAAAGGAAACCTGCACTCCTATGTGTATAGCAGCACTATTTACAATAGCCAAGATATGGAAACATACTAAATGCCTCAAAAGAGATGAGTGAATCAGAAGATGTGGTATATATACACAATAGAATACTACTCAGTGATCAAAAAAGGTAAAGTTGTACAATTTGTGGAAATGTGGATAGGAGGAATTATGCTAAATGAAGTGAGTCAGATGGGGAAAGATAAATATTAGATGATTTCACTTACAGTGCAATGTGGAGAAACCATGTAAAGGCTTAGACAAAGACAACCTGAAAGCTGATCATAGATCTGAGGCATCCTGGACAGGCAGAGGAAGGGAAGTGGGAAAAGGAGGGCTGAAATGGAGGGATTCGTGGGGGAAGAGCGAGTGGTGTTTGGATGCTAGAAAAACTACAGTGAACACACCTGAGGGGAGAAATCGTATACTGCCTCCAAATTAACAAAGATGTAAGAAAAAGTACTTCACTGAAAAACACATAAAAAATTAAAAAATAAGATTATTTGCACTGTTCAGTATATCTTGAACATTTTAAAAGAGCAATTACCAGGAAATATAATTTATATGAATACATCTGACAAACCAGGAATACTGTACTTCAAAGAAAAGAGTAAATGGCTATGAGTTGGCGGTACGAACCATTTGTCATTGTCTTACTTGTGTAAGGAACTCTGTGCAACATAAAAAAAAAATATTTCCAGTACGAGACTCCATAAAATATTGGATTGTTTTAAGTAATAATAAGAGTTTCTTTGATTCCTTTTGTGATTAACAGTTCCCAACAAATAACAGAAGAAAAATGAAGAAGGGGGAGGAATCAACTTGAACCCATAAAAGTAATCCTTGGTCTATTTTTTATTAAAAAAAAAAAAGGAATTGTGAAAGGCCTCTTACCCCTCCAGAATGTTACACTTCTCCACGCATTCCTTGCCACGGCTGACGTTCCGGCAGGACAAGCAGTCTTTGGGTTCTGGGCCCCAGCAGCCCTCTGAGGAGCATAAAGGATCACACACGTGGCCCATGGTTTCTGAGAAGACAGAGTGAGCTGCAGGTCAGTCATGAAACAGTGAACAAGGAGGCAACACCCATAAATGTGTGCTGGGCTCTCTGTGACATTGACTTGCATAGACATGCTAGGACCAGAACACAATGACACAGTTGACTTCCTGAGGCCAACTACAAGTCCCTTTTTATCACCAGGATAGGGTTTTGCTGATGAAAGTCATAACTGATGGTGACATGCCAGGTGCTAAATGCCATGCCAATAACTTTACATATAGAACTTCATTTAGTTCTTTCAATATATCTTGAACATTTTGAAAGAGTAATTACCAGGAAATATAATTTATGTGAATTAGAATTAATTACTCCAGTTCATGGACAAGGAAGCCAAAGCTTAATGATATTAAATAAATGGACCAAGGTCTCAAAGTTATCAGATCAGCACTGGAACTCAGATCTTCTTCTGCTGGCAGTCAGGGTCCCAGAACAAGGTGAAGGTGCATTTCTGGCTTTAGGAGTCGACTGTGGCCCTAAAAATCATAACTGAAAATGTCACTGGGACATGTTCATACATTTGTGTGTGTGTGTATGTGTACACACACGCACACCTGTGTGCACATATGTGTAGCTTCTTAGAGGCAGAAACGAGTAGAGAGGAAGCTATCACTAAAATGTAAAATAATTAATATTAAATTTAGTTTTTTAAATCACCAATAATTCTAGATTAAACTTCAAGGTGAATTCATCCTATGAAATGAGTGATCTGGAAGAAGTTCTGATAAACCTCACATGATAACTTCACAATAAGGAATATACAGATTTCTATTTTTTTTTTTTTTTTTTTTTCAGAAAAGGAAAAAGTAATTTAAATGTTTGGGAATGGCCTCTGAGTGTCCAAATCCAAATAAAAGGCCCATTGGGCCATCTCCACAAACAAATCAAAGCCATACTTACTGCAGTCACTTTCATCTCTGTTTTTTATAATTTTGTATTTTTGACTTGAGGTCCCAAATAGTTTTTTCCAGTTTATTGTGTTTGTATAGCACAAGTTTCGGTTTCCTGAAACAATCACATCTCCATCACTAATCTCCTTGAGGGAGCGTAATCCCAAGGACGATATGTTCAGGCCGACAACTGCAAGTGAAAACTGACCACTAAATTGGAGAGAAAAAAAAATTGGGAAAAATTATAAAGACATATATCACCAAAAACTTTTCTTTTGTTTTTTAGGACCACTTAAGATTTACTCAATCTGTCTTCCACTTATTGTTAAGTCATATTATGGAAGATTATATATTGCAACTTTTAAAATTGACAGTGGTTTTGGAAGGTCTTCCTGGAAAAATCCAGTTCATTGTTCATTTAGCTCTTTAGCACTAATGGCTGAATAAATGTCTTTTTTTTTTTTTTTTGGTGGGACCCTCGCCGGCGGCCAGGGAATGAACGAACCGGCGCTGCGGACAGCCTCGCAGCCCAGCGCTCAACCACTGCACCACCAGGGGAATCCCCTGAATAAATGTCTTAATGTCATTATTTTATTTTGCTTGGTGGAAACACGTTCATTTTTCTCCACCTACCCAACCATCCATCCATACGCCTATCCATTTACCTAACCACCCACTTACCAAACTATCCATCCATTCATCCATCAATCCATATATATTCACTCATTCATCATTCCACTCATTACTCACACATCCCCTCCACACATCCATCCTTCCATTTGTTGAACAAACATTTGAGGCATTATGTGACAAATTTTATGTTGGTTAAAGATATGTTTCCTGTCTCTGGAGACAATTACATGAGAGAAAATTTTAAGCCAGCACAGGAGAATGGTGCTAATGGGCACCAGAGAGGCAAAGAGCAGAGGTCTCTAAGCAACGCTGGGGAGGGATGTTTGGGAAGGCATGGGATCTTGGAAGAGGTGATAGCTATGAAGCCCTTGGAAGCAGGAGTTATATGTTTTTTTTCACCACCCAAAACTTAGAATTCTACAAGGATCAATGTGTGTATATCAAGTGACTGGATGAAAGGTATTCAGAGTAAAGGGAGGGAAGTGCTGATCCATCTGGAGGACCAGCTGGGTGCTGATATGATGAGCTCTGAAAGTCAGAAGCTGGGGCAGAATTGGGGAGGTAAGAGAAATGAGAGGGTGTCTGGCAGGGTGGAAAGGTCAGAGCACAGAAGATTGTACTCCTTGTGGAGAAATTTGGGATGCTTGTAAAAGAGGAAAACCCCAGGAAAGAGATTTGCATTTTTAGGAGGCTCACTGGCCATCCATAAGGATACCCACAGTGAGGATGGACACCAGTGGGAATGGGCTAGTTGAGAGAGTGCTGAATGAAGAGACTGAAATTAAGACTGCAATGAGATGACAGATGTTTAAAACAGAATATGGAGACTCCTTGTTTTTCCTTCTATTCTTACCATTCCTATTTCTCTCATCCCACAATCTTCCTCCTGAGAAAAATTGAGGGGCCTTGTGAAGAATATTTGCACTACTATTGTAAGAATTCTCTCCCAACATGTGCCCAAGAGAACTAGATAATGGGGACAAACTGTGTCTGTCTGCAGGGCAGGGCTGGCTTTGGTGGGTCATACCCTAGAACCAGGGGTTACTTTATATCTATGGCCTGAGCATCACTGGAAAAGAAACAAATAATTCTCATTTTATTTGAATCCCTAAAACTAATCCCACTGGATACCATACCAGTGACCTAAGAAAACTGATCTATGGATCTTGGACACAGAAGCATCCTGACAATTAGGAGCAAATGTGCTTTTCTAGGAAGCAATGAGAGCTGTATGTCTAGTATTAGAACAATATATACTTTATATGTGCTGCATTGAGATTTTATTTAATACCACACAATAAAGTCCTTTAAGGGGTCAATTATGGGAAACAGTTCTATTTCCAAGGCAAGCTTGACAAACAGATTCCCAAATTCCTCCCCACCACAGCACATTGCTCTTATTACATTAATGGTGTTCATGTGCATGTATGTACTTCACTGTTAAACTTGAAAAGTGGAAATCCAGAGACAACATGTAATGTTCAACAGTGGCTCAGATCCCCCACCACCCTCAAGTCATGATGTGCTGATAAGGATGTCTGTCACCTCAATGCTCTTCTCATCAAAAATGCATAATCTAAATCAAACTGTGAGAAAAGAACAACCATTCTACAAAACGCCTGAGCAGCACTTTTCAAAAGTGTCAAGACCATGAAAGATAAGAAGAGACACAGGAACTCTATACAGATTGCAAGGGCCCAAGGAGATATGCCATTAACTGCAGTGTGGGGTTCACCAGAACAAAATAAAGGCATATGGAAAAACTGTAGTTTAGTTAACAGCATTGCCCCCTTGTGAACTTCAACATTTTGATACTTGTCTCAAACTTATGTTGATGTTAACTCTGCGGGAAATGATCATTGTTAATTTTTCATTTTCAGACTTGTATCAAGTTCCTGGAAGATGTTAACCTTAGGAGAAGTTTCCATTGTTGATTTCTTCATTTTGATAATATGTTATGCTTATGTAAGATGTTAACATTAGGGGAAGCTGGGTGAAGGATATATATCAACTTTCTGTACTATCTTTGGAACACTTCCATAAGTCTAATTTCAAACTCTCTGTATATTTTATTTCAAAATAAAAAATAATCTATAGGTTTTGATGAAGGGAAACTTACTGTTGCTTTGTTCTGCCACGTATGATTTCCAGATTCTCAAAAGTGTTTAGGTCAGTCCTGTTTTCTGGCCAGGCCTGAATCAGTAGAAACCCTACAACACAAATGGAAAGCTCAAAACACACACCACCTGGACATTTCTTTTGTATGAGACACTATTATAGGACTCTCAAGAGACTAAATAGAAGCAGAAAGTGTGAAGATTTATCAACTACTTTTTATCATCATCAACACGTGTGTACACACACGTGTAGATGCCAGCTAAGGCACATTAGACAGTGTGCATCCTGTCTCTCCCTGGCATCCCCATCTCTTGCTGTGCCTCCCCAATGCCCATCCAATGGGCTGTCACATGGTGCTGCAGTCAGAGTGTTGTCGGCTCCACCTCTGATGACTTTGAACTGGATCCTGTTCTCAATGACAGTGGGCCATGTACTGAGCCAATACATTCATGAAGTTTGCATATTTCTTTATTTAAATCTTCCAAACAAAATAAATCCTCAAAAAAACCCCATGTTTCGCTCTAATTATCCCTTCTTAGGAGGGAAGAACATATTGCTCTGATGACAGACAGAGCCCAGGACCTGCAGTGACTAAGCAGCATGTGAGGTTCGGTCCACAAGGCTTGAGAGCCTGTGCTCCTTCTGCCCAGGAGGGTCCCAGCCACTAGGACAGGGGCTTGGGCCAGGGAGACAAGGGATAAACATGTTCATGTGAGCTCATAAATGACCGAGTCTTTCCTTAAAAGAGTCCAGCCCTCTCATGCATGCAGAGTAAATATGCTCCCCATTGAAGCCCAGCACATACCTGTGATTTCTTTTACTGTTTTCAGAATATTCAGTTCCTTTGGATCTAAAGGAAGAGTACGTGTGAAAGAGTCGCTGAAACAAGAAATTATGGTTACTGATTAGCAATCTCTACCAGTGAACAAAGCAGATTCTCTTTCTCTACACAAGGAACTTAATCTGTTACTTACCCCCTAAATGCTACTGGCAGGATATGAAGATCTCCACTGATTGTGGTGCAGTTTCTGAAGTGTTTAATATTTGTGGCATTTATGGAAAGTGTGTCTTTAAATTCACCAATTCCTATTCCATTACAAACTGTAAAATAAGGGACATGTTTATTCTATTCACATTCGTTGGATAAAGAATAGCTAGGAACAACAATATAAGAAAATTCAAAAAAAGAAAGAAAGAAAAAATAACTAGGGTTCCTTAGGCAGAGGGTAGGAGGAAGGGAATTCTAGCCATGAGAACCAATACTGCCATGCTGTCATTCAGTCATTCAACAACCATGGATTGGGGCCTAATAGGTACTGGGAAGTTAGCAGGCTTGGGGTTGTACAGGTTAGAGGAGAGGCTGTCACTGTCACTGCCTTCCCTGGACGCATGCTCTCTTCCTCATTATTTCCCACTTGGACCATAGCGTCCAGTTGCTCTTAACTTCTCCAACTTCCTTTCCTTTCTCTGCAGTAGCACAATGCACCTACTGCTGTCAGGCAGCTTCTGTGCATAACTCTGACAGTGCCCTCTGAAGCGCTTCTTCTCTAGTCTCCCTTGCCCTAACCTGGTATGTGGCTTCGTTGTCTATATTACAGAAGCAATATGCAGAGCTTTTCTTTTTTAGCAAGAGTGTATTTTAAAAGTATTGAACACACAGAATAAAGATGATAGACCAAAATGACGAGCAATTTCACTATGAGTGTTCAACATTTTAGAAACATTCCTTCCATCTATCCTCTATGGTGAGCATGTGGTTAGTTTTTGTTTTTTCATTTATTATGCTGTGAACATTTGTCCTATCATTAAAACTCTTCACAAATAATTTAATGGCTGTCTGATATTACATCATAGGGAATACTATAATGTTTTTTATCACACAGTTAAACTGCTCTTCTTCTGCTGTGTTTACTTGATGTGTGTCTGATTGCTACATCAGTCTCAAATGCCCTTTTCCACACTCTGAACCTGTTTTGGAATTTATATTTACTCTTGAGTTTCTACCTCAAATGCCATTTCCACCCTACAGCCCATTTATCCTTGAGAACTCACAGCACAATTCTTGGTACCCATCTTCAGGCTTTATCTTTATTTTGACATACAATTACTAAAAATCTCCCTTCAGGATGGGTCCTTTCTGCTCCTCTGGGAAACAGCCAAGCCAGTTATCCTCCAGCTCCCTCTGGACTCTGCTGTTCTAGGAATTCCATGTCAGTGGCACAGAGACTTCAAATCTGGCTGTGAACCCATCCTGCTAGCTATGGAGAGTCTCCAGGTTTGACCTGTGCTGGGTCCAACCCATTATGGGTTGGGAACTCATTGGCCAGGTTTCTTTAGGCCTCTAAGGATCTGGCTGATGATAGAGAAGGAGGTGACTCCAGCAAGAAAGCCCTGGGGCAGATACCTGCTGTTTAATAACAGGTCTGGAGGATTCTATGTGTCAGAGAACATTCATTCTTGCTCAGCTTGTGTGTGAAGGGAGGGTTATTTTAAGCCCTAAATTTAGAGATAAATTGTATATTCACTCATAGACACATCAGATTTGGCATTTATCAAGCATTTGTTTTCCTGGCACTTCCTCCTTGCCCAGTATCTCTTGTCCTATATCTCAAGGATCTGTTTGGGCCACTGCTCTGAGCATATGAATTAGGGGTGTGCAGAAAAACAGGCCATGATGATTACAAGATAATCAAAATGTGTGTTGAATACAAAATTAAATCTCTGAGTTTATTGATCCCTGCTAGTAATCTCCCTTCAGTGGCTTAACTCTTCTCTTTCTACTTCCTCTGTGCCTGGCCCCCTCTGATCCCCCCACCCATACATTCCTATTTTCATTTTTCCAGGTCTCCTCTGCCAGGTTGTTTCCTGAAGCTGAGGACACTCGCCTCTCAGAGCCTGACTCACCTGCTCTCAGGGGTCATGAGGTGGGGAGGACACAGACCCACCTACATGGACTTCACCTCCACTCTACCACCCTGGCTGCTGGGCCTGGGCAAGTCCTTCAGACTCACTGTGACTCAGTTTCCTGCTCTGTAAAATGGGGATCATATCAGTACAGACTTCCCAAAGGGACTGAGAGGATATGACAACATGGACTTGAAGGATGTCTGGCTGTGAGACGGGTGCACAGAATGTCTATTTGGAGCAGAGGGGAAATTATTTCAGTTGATATCACAGGGAAGGTGGCATTTGAAGTGGTAATTCAAGGTCAGAAGCTGTTCATTGAGTTGAGAGTTACAACAGTTACAACATAGTAGGGTAGCACCTTTTGAGTAGAATGGCTGGAATATAGGCTATGCCAAAGGGACAGGGGAGCCAGGTAGAAAGACTTCCGCCAGCTACGGGTGAGATGATTTGGACATGGGAGTCAATAATGGCAGGAGTGGATTACAACAGACTGAGTAAAAAAGGATTTCATGAACTTACATGGTACAAAATATTTTTTTAAAAGAATGTCAGCTAACAATTATAGAAAAAAATGGCAGACATGGGAAATGACTCATAACCACCAAGAAATGTGACAGAAACAACTTTTAGCAAACTCATATTTGTCATCATCAGTAATGGGATGTGCCACCTGGTGTGATGCAGTGAGAAAGCACTCACATGGTTTATGCAATGCTCCTGCCCAAACGCTTTATTGAACACAACCTCAGGAAAAGCAGTTGGCAAAGCCAGACTAGGAAACAGACATTCTGCAAAACACTTGGCTTGGATTCTCCACAACATCTGGTCACGTAAGAGAAAAGCAAACAAGTGGAGATGGCCTGAGAAGTGGCCCTTGGTGAAGAGTATGGGGACCGGGTGACAGCATGGTGGCAGCACGTCTAAATAAAAAACATGAGCCTAGGTGGATGAGCAGCTGGAAATGATACATGGGAATAGTGGGGTGAAGTCTGAATTAAACTGAGTTCTAGAAAGTGGGGCTGAGTTGATGTTAACATTCCAAGTATGAACCTGTCTTAGTTATTAGAGAATGCCCTGTCTGTAGGAAAGCATTAAGACATGGCTAGGGGTGAAGTGTTCTGATATCTTTAACTGTGACATGTTTCAGAAAAACATATAGGCAAACACACACATATACATGTAGATGTTATACGGAATTACATTAATTGGAATTACAATATTTTGGAATATATATTGGAATTACAATAATCCTGACTGATCAGAAAATGTATGTAAATGAAACAGAATGACTAATGTTTACAATTTAAAATGAAAGTGACCACTATTTTGCAAAGATATTGATAAACAGACACAGGCAAGGATTGAGACAGACCTAATTGCACTGAGAGGCCAAACCCCAAAACTAAAAGGTGGCTCTGATAATATACCTACACAGCCATTTAAATATGAGATGAAATAGGCCAATCTATAATCCTCTGGACTCTATGCCTGTGGAGTCTTTGAAGCTTTCTCCAGATTTTGGCATCTGCTGCCAGAGGCTCTGCCTGGAGAAGTAGCACCTCCCTCCTCACCCTGCAAGAAACATTCTACACGCAGAGCATAGCTCTTAGGCTGGTCTCTTAAACCTTGTTTTAGTAGTTCATGTCTCCCCCCACCACCCCTTTTGTACTGCCAACCGAATTGTATTGTATGCTTATATTATTATAATATGGATTTCCTCCCACAAATTATATTGTCATTATATGTGATTGGCTTGAATTATAAGTGAAACCTCTGCAGCCAGGTGGAAGTTATCATGCTGATGTCTCAACCACATAATGCTTATTACAGTATATAAATGCAGACATGGAACAAAAACAATGTGGCAAAACATGAAAATCTGCAGCTTTGGGGCCTCCCCAGTGGCCTAAGGGTTAAGTCTCATTGCTATCACCACTATGGCCTGAGTTCAATCCCTGGCCAGGGAGCTAACACACATGGCTCAGCAGACCTCTCTTGTCTCACCTGCTGCTCCCCTCAGCATTGTATTTCAGTCCATCTGCCTGTTCTGTTCCCTACTCTGTCTCCAGTGAATCCTCTCACCCCTGCACCCCTAGCCTACATCCCAGTTCTTCTATGCAAAAAGAAATAAAATCTTTAAAAAGATAAAGAAAAGCTGCTACATTTTTTTTTATTTATACACAGAAGAACTGGGGTATTGCCAGAGGGGTGGGGGGTGAGAGATTCACCAGAGACAGAGTAAGGAGCAGAACACAGTGGATTTACTAAAATACACTGCTGAGGGGAGCAGCAGGCAAAACAAGTAAGATTTGTGTGCCATGTGGCTCAGCAACCTGGCTGGGGATCAAACTCATGCTGCAGTGGCTGCCGATAGCTTGATAGTGCTGACACTAAACCCCTGTGCCACCAGGGAGGCCCCCAGAAAAGCTGCAATATTTACATGAAAGCAACATAGGAGTTTATGACACTCTTCTTGCAACATTTATGGGTATTTGAAAATCTTCAAAATAAAAGGTAAAAGATAAGTAGGGATAAATTAGGCTTGAGCACACTCCAAGATCAGGGCACAGCACAAAGGAAGAACCAGACTTCTAGGCCTGAAGACATTAGCGCAGACCTGCAGCAACCACCCAGCTCCCCCACAGGTAAAAGCCTGGTCCTGCACCTGAGCATGCTTCCTACCTTTGCGACAAGGCCCATCACACTTTTTACACTTCCGGACGCCATCCTCCTCCACTTCATAGCTGTCGGAGCTGCAGGCTCGGACACAGGAGCCGTGGTCTGTCACCACGTAGTTCCCTGGGGCAGAGACATGAAAGGGAGGTGATGACAGTGGTACCAGGTGCTGGGGCCACACACAAACGCCTGTGTCGCCCACGGAGGACTGATGAAAAGGCCCAGGTCCTCTGGTTTTATTACTTCAATGACAAAGATGACAGGTTGCAAACAGAAAAGGAGTCGCGCTCAAGAGTTCTAATAGCTTTTCAGACCCTAAAGTGGGAAATAAAGATATTTCATCACAGACAGGGAATGAATGTGCTGGGAGAAATCATTGTGCATGGACACAGTTTAAACATCTCTTGAAAGCTCTTTTTTTTTTTTTTTTCTTTTCTGTAGGTTGAACGCTCACAGATTAGATCTGTGTCACAATTGTGGCAATTTTTCTTTATCATAACTTGTCATTTACCTTCAACGGCTTATTATTCTATTTGTGAGTCATTTTCTCTGTACAGAATATAAACTTTTCATGTCTATATATCTCATAAATGTTCTTTAAATTTCTTTAAGTTAATCTCCCTTCCTAGAAATCAAGATTGCTTTCCAAAGGTTTTTGACTAGACAACTGTACATTCTATTAGAAAATAATTTATGTCAGCATTTTCTGAAACACCATGGCCACCAGTAGAATGTGAACTCAAATAAGCAAAAACTAAGGCCAAATTATTCAAAGTCAGACAACTTTCTCTACAATTCTCCTAAGAGACACTTTTGCCAGAATTTTGAGAAGGCCAGTCTTTCAGCACACTCTTCAATTAAGTGTCCCAAATACCTGTTTGTTCTAACAGCTAAACAGAAAAATGCCCAATGGCCAGGGGGCTATGCCTGGACCCCAGTTCCAGGTGTGGTTCCTGTCCTAGCATTGAGACATGGCAGCAACAGGGCGCACAGAGAAGCGGCTGGATAGATTAGCTCCTCTCCTGTGCACCCAGTCCTGCCCTGCTACCTGTCTGACAAGGAGGCAGACACAGCGACTCAAAGCAGACCAGAGACCAGGGGATTTACTGATCCTTAAAAAGGAAAACAGGAAATGGAGGCCTGATTGTTGGAAGGGCTTTGCAGTGAGGGACTCACGGGGACATTTCTTCACACAGGTGGCACCAAAGCTGTACTTCCCCTCCGGGTTGACATCCATCTGGTAAGTGGTGGGGTTGTAGAGCATGAGCGGGGGGCAGGTGTCCTTGCAAGTGGCTTCATCCCGGAACTTCCGGCAGACCTGTCACAGAGGATACACACTGGGCAAGCTGGGCAAGGATGCTCAGTGTTTTGATTCTGTTCAGAAAGCTTGGGTGACACTTCTTAATGTCCAGGTGCTTGAACAGAGTAGAAAAATCTAGCAATATGAAAGGGGGACCTCTCCCTTTAAAGCGTGGTTTTTCTTAAATATGCTGTCTCAGCCATGATAAGCTATGGATTATGATTAGAGAAAAATAGATCACTTTAATAATTTACAAAATGACAAAGGGGTTCACACTGTAGGGTGTCAACTATGGAATGAAATTATTATTATTTATTTTTAATTTGTGCCCCTACCACAACCCTCCCCACCTTAAGCTCAGAATCCTATGTCCAATATTTGTTTTTATTGTTTTCACTTATTTTGTTACACATAATTCTTTTAAGACTCCTCTGTTCTGTTGAACATGGTTGCATTTCAATCTTTTTATGGCTATATAATACTCCATGGTGTGCATATACTACATCTTCTTCATCCAATTGTCTGCTGAGAGACATTTTAAGTTTCTTCCATGTCCTAGCTATTGCAAATAATGCTGCTGGGAACACTATGGAACATAAGGGTTTTTTGTTTCATATTCTGTGGATACATGGCCAAGAATAGGATTGTTATTGCTGGGTCATGCAGTATTTCCATTTTCAGTGTAAGGAAAATCAGATTGCTTTCCAAAATGGTTGTATCAATTTACATTTTAAAACTCAATTTACATTTCCTTTATTTAAAAAAAAAAAAAAAAAAAAAAAAAAACCTTGAGGCTAGATTTTAGAATTTATTGCCAGACCACAAAGAAACTTGATGAGGAATGGTGCCATGACCATAGGACAGACCAAATACAGGGGTGGCCTTGATCAAATGTCATCTCTCCCCTCAGGCTATGCAGTAGAACAAGTCCAGACCAACCCAGTCAAATTCCTTGGGGCTGGTCAGCTTCTAGAATTAAAAATCTTCCCCTTCCTGAAACCAGAGTCTTTTGGCATCCACCTTAGGTGGGCCTCCCTGTCTTGTGCCCTTGGGTATCTCCTCTTGCTAGTACTGACATTAGGACTCATTTCCCAGCCTGGCATCTCCAGGACCTCCAAGAGTATCACAATTCAGGTGCCACCCTCAGTCACTGGGGCTCCATGAGGTAGAATCACTGTCACTGGTATAATGAGGCTTTGGTCAGAGCCTTCTACAGTCACAGGGACAAAGAAATGCCTGAGTGGGGTTGCAGGAGGCTTCTGAGCTGTGGTGGAGACAGCAGAGGGAGTAGGGTCAGAAGATCTGAATGCAGCCCCAGCCATGCATTGGTCACGTGATTTGGATGGGTCTTAAACATCTCTCTCTATATTTTAGGGACCCTTACGGTGTCAACTCCTTAGGTTGGTACTGAGAAACAGGTGAAACAATAAATAGCTTTACAATGCTGCTGCTGCCAGCCACAATAAACATTTAAGGACAAATAACACATATTTGGCCTTTATTCTCATGGCACACCCAGGGGCTGGGTCAGACACCACATGCATTGTGTCATTTAGATCACTCAGTAGAGAAGTACTTTATGATCTGCCATTGTCAGACAAGGAAATCTAGGTAGAAAGGTCAGATAATTTGCCCAAGGTCATAAAGTATGTGATGAATGCAGGATTATGAAAGAAGCTTTGTCATCTGGCAAAGAGCAACCTTTGCATCTGCTACTACAAATGCTACTTGACACGTTTCTCCCAGGCCGTTCTTTATACCCTGGGCTGGAGAAGCCCCAGGGGTTGGGCTGTGGGCAGTGCTGGCATGGAGGGCTGCAGGCTCACTTACCAGGCAGTCGCTCTCTCGGGGCCCGGTGCAGCCAGCGGCACACTGGTTGTGGCAGCAGTCGCTGGGGGACTTGCCGCGGCAGCGCCCAGAGCACTGCTGGGCACAGATGATTTTGGTCACTGAAAAGAAGCACAGATGGCTGTGAGCTGAGGAGCCAGGGAGGAGGCAAGATCACTTCCCAGGGACCTTAGAGCACTTGCAAACAGTGCTTGAAAAACTGAACAAGAGAATGGATTTCACGATTACATGGCTTGTTAAAATTCCCAAACATTCACATGTTGTCAAACTAAATTAGATTACATCCATTCTTTTCTTGTACCTTTACCTCCCCCCCATTTGTTTTTAATCACATACTTAGGCAAACCAACCAGATTTAGTCTAGACTTTTAGACCTGGAAATAATTAGATACTTGTTAAAACGGTGCTGCTGGTGAAAAGCTCCTGCCAGGAATTAGTGCTAAGAAGATGTAAACCATGTCATCATTAAAATGAAGGGCTTACATGTCCCTAGATGCCAGGCCATCTATGCTCCTGGAGCAGGATTCCTACAGAAAAACGAACCTGAAAAACGTTGCTCATGCTTCTATGGACGTGGTGCCAACGAAGAGGGGAGGAAGGGAGAGAAAAGAGGAAGTGTAGGGATTCAGGTAACCGACAAGTTTCCCGTTGCCAGGGAAATCTGTCCAACACATTCACAGAAAGTGAATGGTACCCATGTTCTGGCTTTCACTTATTGCTGACAGGCCAAAGTACCCGAATAGTTCACACTGGAATAACACACACAGTGAATTTGAGGACAATTGCTCATGCAAGCTCTGGCTCTAAAATCAAGTGTGCTTTTTGAAGTCTTCAAAGGGAAAACAAAAACAACCATGTAAGTACAAGAGGAGGGGGCACCTGGAGTTTTGCTCCTGACTTACGTTTCTGGCAGTTCTCCTTTCCTGAGCCCCAGCAGCTTCCATTGGGGCAGCTGGGATCACACTTCTGGCCTAAAAATTAAAAGCAATAGTTAATTCATATCTCGGAGAAGGAAAACAAATAATAGAAAACTGATGACACCTTCCCAAGCCCTGAGCAAAGGAAATTCTAGAAACAAGGAATAGTTTTCAAAGTTCTTATTTTCTGTTTGACTCGTTGGTTTATAAGATGATTAAAAGACTTTCTTAAGAAAAATAAGATAAGTCATGTAACATTTTTTAGTTGCAGAAACAGAGGCAGAGAGAAATTATCAACTTATCACTGGTCGTGATAACTGGGATTTAAGTAAACTCAAGGGTGTAGGTTTCAAATTTGCTTAGGTCTGGAGAAGTTTCCAGTGTCTCCACAGCCAGGTTATGGTGCATAATCTGGTGGGATGGTGCCCATTCTCATATGCCATCTTGAGTGACTGGGAGGGTCAGTCATCCCAGGGAGCTGATGGGCATAAATAAAAATTCCCAGACTCCAAGCAAGAGAGCTTGGAGTCCAAATGTTGCACAAGGTTGAAATGTTTCCAATGTGTATTGTATCATTTTGTGGGTTACCCAAAATGTAAGTCATTAATTTTTAAGCTACTGTCTAGAAATATTTGCAACTGATTAATGTTTTGCAGCTTCTATAAATAATCATTTAAAATTACGGCTACAAAGTTTTTTAATCTCATTGGCTGTGCATTTATCAGCATTGAGAAAAATGAAGACCAAAGCATTATATGTATATATAGAGAACAGGCTGACCACCATATTTGTTAAGAAGGGATCAGAGCATAGATATTTTTGAATATGAAGACACAGTAACTAAAGGGAATTGATGTGTGTGCCAAAGTCTCCAGCAGTCAGGAAGAATTTAATCTCTGGGAGAATCTAGATTTCAAACAGAGGAGCTAAAGATTGCCAAGTGGTTGTTGAACCAGGACACCATTCAATATTACTTATTATTTTTACAAATGTCTCCAGAGGAGAATGGTGTAATGTAATTCTGGTTCTCTGTAAAATAATGGAAAATGGTGAAGCCAAACCCCAAATGGATGAGTGGAGTTACATTTGGGAGGGTAGGGAGAAAGAGGGCAAAGAAAGAGAAAAGAAATAATATATAAAATGTTCCAAGTGATTGTACATCATGTCATTTTTACTTTTTACCCTCTACTTCCCCATATTTTCCACATTAAATACTCATCATAAAAGAAAAATACTCTTCCAACATTTGCCAACCAATTAATTCAAGCTCAACTTATAATTCTGTTCTTAACCCTCTGTGACAAAAAAAGAAATGCAGGGGCCTCACTGGTGGTGCAGGTTGTTGAGCACAGTGCTGTGAAGCTGTCGGTAGCTTCTGCAGTGTGGGTTCAACCCCGGCCAGCTGGGGAGATACCCACATGGCATGGCAGACCTCTCCTGTCTCGCCCGCTGCTCCCCTCAGCAGTGTGTTTCAGTCAGTCTGTCTGTTCTGTACCCAGCTCTGTCCAGATCTGGTGAATCCTCTCACACTCCCACACATCTGGCCTGTACCCTGATTCTTGTATAAATAAATAAATCTTTAAAAAATGTTATGACAAATCTTCTGTGCCTTTATATATTTTTCTACCTAATATGATTTTTAATAACAAGGCTGTCCTATAATTTAATCAACCAACCTCTTATTTTTAGATATATTCTATTTCTAAATTCATTGTAAGAAGACTGCAAGGAATATTCTTGTACACAAGCATTTTTCTACAACTCTTAAGACTTCATTCACTTTTTAAATTTTTTTCTTATTATTCCTAGACATCAAATTCATGTGTCAGAGGTTTGCATGTTTTAAAGCTTCAATACCTATTACCAAAATTCTCTCCCTGACCAGGTTTTATTAATTTATGTTTCTACAAACAGAATGAGAATTTTTTTTTCTTCACCTCTCTGCTGATTTATGTATTTAAAAATCAAGGGCAAAAATTATGTTTAGCAAAGGCAAAAATTATGTTTCTTTATTTCAACTTCTTTATTATAGTATCAAACAACATTTTGCTTCATTTCTTGAGTGAGTGTGTGTAAAGAAGAGGCGGGCTAAAGTTCTTGGCCTACTTTTTTTTTTTTTAATTGGGAGGTTCACCTTGTTCTTAGGAGTTCTAAGAGTACTTTAACCACATTAGCAAGAATATTAACCTTTTCAAGGCAATCAGATATTGCACAATATCTGATTGCACAATTTTCCTAACTCATCATTAACTTTTTTTCATATAGCAATTTTCTTTTATGCTATCTGAATTTGTTTTTTCTTCAACTTGATATTACAAATATTTTATATTCACCTTTTTTCTAGCAGTTACATATATATCAACATTTTATTATATGTAAAATATGTATTTGGAATTTTATATTGTATATGAAGTGGTGATGAACTTTCAGGTAAACCTACCCATTCAAACTTCAAATTCCATGTGACTTCAAAAATAACAATGATGGGACACTTTGGTAACCCTTCTGCATTTCTTGAATCCATTGCCATAAAACACTTAAATCACCTTTCAAAATTTTTTGGGCAAAAATTGAACGAGACAAGTTCTCAGAAGGCCTCTATAAGACCTGAAAGACACTAGGTGGGGGCAGTGTTTCTTCCACAGGAGAAAGATGGGTTTCTGAACTGTTATTAGTCAGGGAACTAACAGGGAAAACACAGGTGGAGGTGAATGATAATTTCTAATTTCCAGTATTACCAATGGAGTAGCCCAGTTTGTTTTAAAAAATCCTTTGTAGTTCTGTCACTTTGATTTTTTTCTTAGTAATTAAGTCATTCCAAAAACAATTTATTGAATACAGGATTCTTCCTTTATTTGCTTTAAACATCATTTCCTTATGAACATTTGATTTAGTCAGGCTTATTCTTATTGTCTCATTCTTAAATGTCTCTCATATATATATTATATATATAAAGTACAGTAATATACATACATATATATATATATAATGAAAAAAGTCAGTCACAAAGGACAATTACCATACAATTCCACTCACATGAAGCCCCTGAGAAGACAAATTCATACACACAGATAGTAGATGGTGGGTGCCAGGGGCTAGGGGGAGGACAGCAGTGCGTGGTTGCTTAATGAGTAAGGATTGCAGTTGGGATCATGAAAAGTGCTGGAGATGGATGTGAATGTATTTAATACCACTGAATTGAATTTAATACCACAGAAAAGAGGAAAATGATGGTGCTGGTTTCTTATTTAAAAGAACTGAATGACCCAGGACATCAGGAAGGATTTGCTGACTAGAACTGGGACATTGTAAGCATGCGTCTTGGTTTCCTTCAAGGACAGACCAAGAGGCTTCCTGGCAGGCATGCCCTGCATGGCTGCTTTCCTGATGTACAGCGGGGACTAGGTTGTTAGCACCAGGGGCAACATGGACAAACTGCACCCAGTTTTGTTATCTCAGGAGGAAGAGCCAGTTCAATGCTCCCGGAGGGCCTGGCGCCAGTTTGAGTCCTGGCAGTCTGTCAGAAGCACACAACCCTTGTCCAGTCTCCCCCAGCGGGCTGGAAAAGCCAAGTCAGGACTGATGGCCACACGGTGCTCAGCTGTCTTGGGGGCTCTGTCCTGCCTGCAAGGGTGCTAACAGTCACTATGAAAGACACACTTCCCTGTCTTAGAGAATCTTTTTCTAGGGGCAGATAATTCATTTGCTACCATTTTATATTAGATTAATGGGACTTGACCTTTGATCTGACTTCTCTCACCTCCACCCTACACTCCCTGACTCTGGCCCACTCAGGAGCTGGGACAGGGGACACTGGGTAGCACTTACAATTGCCTGGGTTGTTCTGAAAGTCCATTGACATGTTGCTCAGAAAATCTTTGTCAACAATGTCCTGCCACTGCACAGAATCCAGGTTGCACAGGGCAGGGTTGTTGCTGAATCGCACGGCGCCTTGTAGGATTTCTGCATGAAAAAGGAAGCTCAGTGAGCAAATCTTCAACTCTAAAATCTCACGATGTCTGTGTGCATTTCTTTACATCTTACATTCTGTTAGAAGTGCAGTAGATTTCCCATAAAGCTTCAATGGCAGCAGGTGGAAAGTGAACTGATAACACTGATGTGGGGGAGGTAGGATTTTCCCCTGAAGTGTGTCTTTGAGCAAGAATGATCAGATGTAGACATATGAGAAGGAAGAAGATGAAGCCTGTCAGTGGCACAGCATGAAGAGAAAGTGCACAGTGGGTTGTTGATTCTGGAGAGGCTGACCAGTTGGATTGGACAGACATGAATGACAACAGGAAGGGGCTAATGTTACAGGAAGAGCAGGTGACTGAGTGACAGGAAAAGGCAATGAGGAAGCCAGGAGAATGTCATGGGAGAAAGGGTGTGAGAATGGGGTGAACAAGAAAAAGGCATGTGTGACACAGACATGCAATGGATACCAGAAATGTAAAGGATGTAAAGGACAATGTAGCTGTTTCAAAGGAAGAACGAGAAGGGCATGAAAAATCAAGAATGATATGAGAAATCCAAGTCTGAGCACAAAGAGTGTCACCTCAATGACATTAAACATAAACATTGACTGAATGGTTTATGTGCACAAAACACTGTACCAAGGGCTTCGGATCTACAAAGATGATTTGCTTTGCTGGCTTCTCTCGAGGAACTGATGACCTCCTGCCCCCAGAAGACCACAAGACAGGGAAGGATTGGGTACATGCTAACTGGTTTGTACATGTGGTCTTGGTTGACCCCTACCATGGTCAAATGACCATGTGATGCAAGCAGAGGCATAAATGAGGCCCAGCACCCCCACAGGTAGGGGTGGGCACAGTACACACAGTACAGCACAGAAAACAGGGTTCGCCCTGGAAAGGCAGTGAGGCTGTGAGAAAAATGACATTTCCCATAGCACACTGGGGGAGGAGAGGAGGGTGCTGTGGGGATGAAGGCACAGCAGAGACAGTTGAGTGGTTTCTTCAGAGGATGGCACAGAACACAGGGGTCAGGGGAAGGAGGTTGGGAAGTTGATAAAGGCCCAATTGTGGAGTTTCAGATGTAAAGTCTGACAGTCGTGTGGAAAGGTTCTCTCGGGAGGGGCTGATGTCAAGTGGGCGAGACTCTGTGAGAACTCAGGATGAGAAAGACAGAAAAGTGACATCAAGGCTGCAACAATGAAAACAACAGGACCTGGTGTCCAGAAAGAGAGTGTAAGATGGGAGTCAGGGTCGGGGGTCTGCCTGATCACCCACAATCAGCAACAGTAAAATAAGAAGGGGATGCATGGGTGCTGGGGTTCCGGTGGCCCTGCCTGGTACTGAGAAGACAAAGAATTGGGGGACAGTCATTCTTTGACTTTTACTTTCAACATTTAATGACTGTTCCCTTTGTAGAAGCACTGAGTTAATTATTAACAATGGTATTGAATTTATATTAAATGACTATTTAATAACATTAAGTGATCTGGATTTATACAACTTCAATACCAATAACAGAAATGACAGCAACAGCAGAAATAGCTCCTAAGTGCTTTGTCTGTAGTAATTGACTTAATTTCTCAGCAACCCTGGGAAGGGTTGCTGTTGTCACCCACAGTTTTGAAGATGAGGAAACTGAGCTGCACTGAACATGCAGCAGAAGCTGGCTGGTCAGATGTGGAGCCCTCAAGTCCTAGCCATGTCTGCTTGTCACCAGAGACACTGTGAGGCGAGACGGACTGATGGGGTGTGGGGAGCACATGGACAGGCTATTCCACGGGATGAAAGGATGTGCCCTCAGTGCCAGCAGAAACACAGAGCAACCTCCATAGAGCTCCGAGCAAGGAAGAGGTGGGTGGGAATTTTTAAGGCAGTTTTATAGCATGGAAAACTAGGAGCCAAACCAGAGGGTGGTGCAGTTTGTTCCATGAGGCTTTGACACATCATTCCAACCCAGCACTTAAGCCTCTGGGCCCCCACGGCTCCTGGGAAGTCTCTGTTGCACCTTCTCTTCCAGACCCTTCCCAGTGGATCTCCCATCAGAAGTGCATGGTACAGGGATGGCAAGGACTCAGGGGCAGAGGTTGGGTGGCCATCTGGTGTTTTCACTCATTTGGGATCTAAGGAAGATTACTTGGCACCATCTCTTTATTTGAAAAATGCAGAGAGTAATGCTCTGAAGGAAGGCATGGGCATTAGATGAAGTTACTGATTTAACATGCCTGGCACCACAGCTGCCACAGAGCAAGACACCACACACAGTTACTGTGAGCTTCTATTTCTATCAGCATCCATCCCCTCTCATCTCACAGGACCCTCACTTGAGTCCCACTCACAGGAACTCCAGCTTCTCCCATAATGCCTTTATTCCCTATCTCTAACAGAAACTGGGCTTTCTATCCAATAGCATCTCTTCTGAAACTCTCTCAAATACGAGTTGATTGTTACTATATATCCCTTATATCTGAGGTTCATGTAATGAATGAGATTGACACAGAAAGTCTCTCTTCCAGACTAGGTCATCTGGTCATACTTTTTCCCAGAACCTTTACCATTTCTTACTATCTCTCTCTTTCTCACTAACATGGAAGAACTGGTACTGACACAAATCTTCCCTTCCCATCCTCTCATTTATTATCTTGGGAATTCACCTGCTGCATCTTGAATGCAATATGCTTGTATTTGATGAGAAAAGTCTCTGGGCAAATGAAGAGGAGTGACAGGTTCCCTGAGTGTCATCTGAGTAGCTCTCAGCACTCAGTCCCTGTGTCTGGCCTCACCCTGTAGATTGCGCAGCGGCAGCTCCCTCAGCCCCGTCCTGTTCTCTCCGTAGTTGGATAAGACTGACAAGGCGTGGGTGTGTTCATACAGCACGTTTCCCCTGATGATCTGCAGGTTTTCCAGAGGGATCTTCTCTACTGTGTTGAGGGCGATGAGCACATAGCCAGCCACTTCCTGAATGGTCTAGGGGGATGAAACTCAGATGTAATTTTTCTCGAAAATGGGTCTGGGTGATCAGGACACCAAACTGAACTGTGCACATCAGTGACTGACACATGTGAAACACAGAGGTGACTGCAGGTGGGAAAGTGGGAAGTGACAGGCTTTATGATGATTCCTGCTGTTCTGCCTACCCATCTACGGCAATGATGAAGGGTGACGTGCATTACTGAGGAATGCTGTGACTTGAATTTGACTTGGTGTTCAACACATTCAGATGAAAGTGGAGATGTTTTATTAATTTATTCTATGTTGGTCTTGCATGCATTCTCCTTTCCAAAAGAAAAAGAAAAGCAAAAGGAAGAAAGACCCCTGTAGAAGGCTAGTACAATCCAAAATTCAACCACCAGCAAACTCTGGCCTTCTGAGCTGGCTCCTACCAGTTCACCAGAACCTATTGTGAAATACTTGGGAATTTTGTGAACTGGTTGTTAAACTCTTGGTAGCTGGAAATCAGCTACCTGGGGAGTGTTTATCCCAATGAGATAGGCAAATGCTACATAGTGGGACTTCTTATTTTTAAAGAGCCAGTATACCAGCATGTCATGCCTGAAGCAATGATTAAAAATGACTATCACTATCAGTGGTGATAGTGGAATGCCAGTCTGCCTGGTCTTTTCAATATTCTTCATAACTAGCTGGTAAAGTAGCCTTATAAAACTTGCATCTGTAGTTCCTTAGGACTTATAATTGCCATGGTACATGCAAATACATGTCATTAAATTCACCAAGGCCTTTATAGAATATATTCACTCCTATTATATGTGGGTAAGACAATGAAATTCACTGAACTAACCTTTAAGAAGGAAAGGTCATAGTTCGTTTGCATGTAAGTAATTTCCAAATTCCCAAGGACCACTTCACAGTTGTTGAACATCCTCTGGAGACTCAGAAAGTGGTCTTCATAAGTGCCCAACTGGGTGAGTTTGTTACTTGTGCCTTGGCAAACTGCAACAAAAGGAAAAAAGATACTACATGAAATGCCAAGTACAGGAACAAAGCTAACATAAAACAATATTCAGAGATTTCAACTTTGTTTACTTCGGTTACTTACAATATTAATTCTGATCAAAGACCATGGGCAAATATGACAAAAAAATTTTAGTTTATACATGTAAGGTACCTAATAAGGGATAACTCATTCTATAATGCATGCAATTAAAAATGTCAAAAATTCATGGGGAAATTGATGAAAATTGAAAGAAAATCTTTAAGACTAAATGGTCTATAAGAGCTAGGAAAAATAACATATATTTACACATAAATATATATTTATACATAAATATATAAATGATGAAACTACAATGTTGAGTTATCAACTATATAATGAACTTTTTACTTTGCAAAAATATAACATGTCACATTATTGTGCACCCACAGGATATTTATTTATAAGTAAAACATACACTATTTTCTGACCACAAAATTGTACGACTTAAAAATCCATGGCAAGGATATAAATTAAAACCCAACTGGCTGGGGCCTCCCCGGTGGCACAGTGGTTGAGCGCTGGGCTGCGAAGTTGCCTGTAGCCTTTGCAACGCTGGTTTGATCCCCGGCCACCGGAGAGGGTCCCACATGGTACAGACCTTTCCTGCTGCACCCACTGCTCCCTTCAGCAGTGTTTTTCGCCACTCTGCCTGTTCTGTTCCCTGCTCTGGCTCTGGTGAATTCTCTCACCTTCCCATGCTTCTGACTATACCCAGTGCTTGTATAAATAAATAAATAAATCTTTAAAAAAAACCCAAAAAACAACTGGCTGGAGAGTAAAACTATTTTTCTAAGCTGATGTATCAAAGAACAAATCAAAGCTCTAATCACACAATATTTATAAAATAACAGAAATGACAAGGCACATTTAAAAACACACCTGGCTAGTGAGATGCCATAGTGACCCTCAGTTGGTCCCTGTGACCCCTCTGGCACAGGTATGCATGCAATTGCTCTGCCCCTCCCCTGCGATTATACAACCTAGGCATGTTTAACTCCCTCCTGTTTTGAGGTAGCAAACTAAACACAGGAAAACATATTAAAATAGGATACAAACGTAGACTATGGAAATACACTTGGTAGTCTATATTTAAAAGCAAAGGAGATTATATTAAAGTCTTATTTACAAACGCAGCTCTTTGAAAGACATGTTTAGGCAAGCATAACAAAACAAAGAGATTTGGGGCTTTTGAAGCAGGGAGCTCATTATGGGACTATACTTTGAACCGAAATTATCATAAGAGTGTGGAAATATGGCCTCTGGCTTTGGGGTTAGATTCAGAAGTGGCCAGATTCTTCCATGTTGTAAAGGCATGACTGCAATCAGCAGCAGGTGGCTGAGTACAAAAACAAGGCCAAAGTCAATATACAGGCACTTTCTTCAGGAGCCCTTTCTGAATTTACACGTCTAGTTTATAGACTTCTTTGTTCCCTGAACCTGGGGATTGCTCTGAAGTGCATCATCTGACTGTCTGTCTTTGCATTTCAGCACAAGCTCAGACGCCACATAATCAACCCAAGGCATTTATACTGACATTAAATATGAAGCAATCTTCACATCCTTTTTACTCCGGGGTTTTCCCTCATTTCCCTTCTGTGGGCTCATTCAAGTTTTGGGTTGGAGAGGATTCTCACATGGAAACCGATGGTGGGCCAGATGGAGCCCCTCTCCACTGACTCTGGGGCAGCATAACTCCATAATTCTTCCAACCATAGTTGGGGTCAATCCGACATCTCTGGTTTGCCTTTTCATGGAGTATGGGCTGCTTTAATTACAAGTTGGAACAGTTGTACACAGTTGGCGGCAACACATGCTGATGGGGCCAGAATGATTTCCTAATTCTAAGGTCCTTAAGATGCCACCACCAGTGTAGGCGCAGGGTCTTGATAATAACATGTACATTTTGATTGGCACACTGGGAACAAAGGTTGCTAGCCCAGGGACAGACTGTGGTATCAGGTGGGCACAAGTACTGGCGAGGTCCTTCCTGACCACCAAGTGAACGATGCTGATTAATAGTGGGAGCAAATTTCAGAAAAATTTCTTCAGTATACAGAGTGATGAAAACAAAACTAGTTGCTTTCATTTTTAAATGATCAAGGATACCAGCTTGTAAGTTTCTCTCAGCTGAACAGAGAATTTTTATTATTGAAAACAATGAGAAAGAAACTTCCATCAATATAAAAGGAAATATTCCATTTAAGTTTAGCCTGTTATAGAAAAAAAATCATTTAAAAAATTCATACTTGTATTATCTTCCATTTATTCAAAAATGCTAAATGAATACCTAAAATATTTGAGGATTGCCTATCACCATTCTTCATTGTTTACAATTATTATGAACCACTTTAAAAAGTGCTTTTTTACTGGCATCAAGAAATAATAGAATCAAGAAAGTTTAAAGATAAGCAAAACTTGAGTAGTAATAGGATGAATAACTTCCTAATCAATGTGACCAAGAAAGAAGGAGGGGGACTTTTTTTTTGCGGTAAGACTGGTTTACAACAGTGCATATAATTTAGGGATATCTGTTCACATTTCTTCAGATGCATGTTGCCACATCATGCCCACCAGCAAAGTATCCATAATCCTCCACCACAGTCCCTTGGCCCCCTCCCCATTTTGCACCTACTCCCACTCTTTCCAGTTTCAATTCTGTAGTCGTATTTTTTATAGAAAATAAGACTTATGAAAATATATTTTATTTTCAGAAAATAGATAATACCAAAATTTCACACTACTGACGTGAAACTTAATTCATAAAACACTCTGGAAGTAAGTGCACAACTTGTTTAAATAAACAAACTCTATGTCATGGTGATTCCAATTTGGAAAACCTATTCTGAGGAAATGAATCTAAATATAGAAAAACTTTCATGCAGAAGTTTTTCATTATTTTTTGAACAATGGCAAAGAATTGCATAACCCAGAAATGCTCAACTATCTAGCCTGTCTGCTTTTGAGAACAAGAAAACAGTTGATAGATTATTTGTCAGTTTATGGCAAGTCCATTCTGAATGCTGTTCCAGGGTTAATTACTAAAGTATTACAAGAAATCATTATAAGGTTGTTTTTTTTCCTGAGGTTTTTCCTGCCCTGTGTCCAAAATGGAATGACATCATCTAAGTGAAATTTGGGGTGAAGACAAGAATGACTTGACCTAAATTCTTTGATTGAAAAAGTATAATCTTAAATCAGTGAGATAATTTACATGTAAGACAACTGATATCAATAAAATTACTTAAAAAGAAAAATCACAGGCAGGTATGGAAAAAGCAAAATGAGCAAGAGTTTTTAACTCAGGAGAAAGTGTTTGGCCACTTTCTCATTTTGTGACTTAGAACAACTTCTCTAAACTCTATGTGCCACAAAAAAAAAAAAAAATAGAGTGGATGTAACATTGACCTCTCAGAATTGTTATGAAGATTGAATAAATGCAAAAGCTTTTGACTTTCTTTTGTTAAAATGGCTTTTGGGAAATGTGATGGTACTATGACAGGAGGTGTATCTGACAGATGTTAGGGGGCCTCCATGAGTAATGCTGGCCTTCAGTATTGTCTGAATTGGGAACATTTGGATCTGCAGCGAGGCTTATTCAAACAATGAACATCAAACATAGCTCCTTTGCAGAATGGCAAATGAGAAAAGGAAAGTAAGTCACATAGTACTTTAAGAATTTCATTAAAATATGAATTTAGGTGTTAAAACAATTTATTGAAATGAATATTTAATATAGGATTATACATTGGAAAACCAGACAAAAGTGTTTGTGTCAAGCTTTATACAAAATGCTAGTGATCTGCTCCACTTGCAAATCTGAAGACAAATTCTCCTGAATCAAGAGCAGTGAGCTCTAAATTTTTGTATTTAAATTTTATTATAAGGACTTACAAATTATAGCAAAGCTGAAAGAAGTGTACCATGAACACCTTTAGATAAACATGTTACTATACTCACTTATTACACTTTATCCATCTTGTTTTTTGATGCATTTTATTTTATTTTATTTTTTTATTTTAATTTTATTTTTATGTTCCCCATTTTGATGCATTTTAAAATAAAGTACAGTGAGCAGTACACTTCGCCTTGGTATACCTCGGATTGCAGCTCAATAGAGCTTCTAGTTGTTGTCATCGATGTTGAAGCAACATCCACGAACTCTGAGATACCAGAACTTACAGGCAAGACACTGGTGTGCCCATGATGCTATCAGAACAGAGGCAGCCCCCTTCGCCCCAGCAGCCCCCTTGGGCCCTTCTCAGACAAGCTCTGCTTCAAATGTCACAGGCAATTGCCACTCGGACTCTTTTCACATACAGTAGTCTTGCCTGTTTTGGGACTTCATGTTAATGGAATTATGCCTGTTACCCTTTCGGTCAGGCTGTTTTACAGCATATATTTTTAAAGCTCACTCTCATCATGTTGTGCTTTTAGTGACCACTTCAGGCAAATGTCTGATGGGCAGTTACCTGAATATTATCCTGGTACATTTGGTGCTGACCCATGGTGTGGTCATTCTTTTTCTCAAGAAACACGCCCTCTCCTCCCACCCCCCAACCATTTATCTTAACTAAACATTAAAGCAATCTGCCTCTTTCTCTCTTGAAATACCCTTTATTTTATGGAGTAATCCCTGTGTCAATGGGGGTGTACACCTCTCTTTGTCCACAAGCCTGGGCAAATCCGTACTACTGATTAAGACACAGTATTAAAACAAGTTTTTTCACATTTTCCCAAATCTACTTAAACACTTTTGGAATTGCCTAAGTCAATTTGTAATTGTCTTAATCTGCTGCTTTCCCTCCATTACACATTAATGGCTGCCCAAGTAGCTGGTTTCTTGTGGCTCTCTCCCCTTGACCTCCTGGATTGCTTTTGCTTTTATTTTTGCCCCATTTTCTTTTTTTTTTTTTAAAGATCTATTTATTTATGCATACAAGAGACAGGGTAAAGGCCA